CACTGCCAAAAGTTCAGTGACACCTGTTGGAGGACAGTAAGCATTACACACCTGTCACTCAAAAGTGGCCACGCCCCTAATCCTACACTACTTTCCAACTATATTATCATTTAAATGTGGGAGCCAGTTTTTGTATTTTGACAATCGGTTTTTATGTATTGCTACTATCTCTACCTTGGTTTCACAGGACATGACCATCAGTTCGTTTCTGAAGAGGCCTAATGAACATTGGTTGCCATATTGGAAATGCTGACTCCAACTTACTTCTGGCCAATCAAGAATCAGGTAGAGAGATGGAATTTAGGCATGTCGAATAAGTATCTTGTTTGCTGAAACACATCCATCTAGCTCGTTTCATCATCCAGAAAGCAAATTAGAAACAATGAAAACCACATGAACAAAGCCGACAGTTAACGGTCAGTAACAGGGTGAGGCCTAGCCTCCTAGCAAACAATGTAGCCACCTTAAAATAATCAAAACAGAGGAATTAAATAAATAATTATACTACAATAAAGAAATGAGCAATGGGTAATAAAGGGCATTTTACTTTATAGGCTCAAATAGGGTTTCCTTCATTTGGAGCCAGCCTCACTGTAGTTTTTTGCACTATGGCATTGTGTTTCTTTAACACCAAAGGTTGCCTTTATTTTGAGAAGCATGGGTCATGAAGTTCCATGTTAATCAGACATCATGTCGCTACAAGAGTAGTTGCCCCCTGCTGGCAATCAAGAAAAACGCAGGTTTTAGGCACTCATGCAATCTTCACTTTTGAAATAAAGGGACTGCATCCACAATCTATGGTAAAGACAGCACATACTCAAATGGTTGCTTATGCCCCTGTGGCTCGTAATAAGACCTTAAAAAGAAGGGTTAATTGACCAGTAGGCTTCTATTAGCACAATGTCAAAGTTCCGGCAGCTGATTGGTGCATTACGGCTTCCACAACCACTGTTTAAGATCACCATCAGCTAAGACAAACTGTGCAGACTTCAGCTTCAGACAGCTGCAGATATTAATGTATAGAGTATAATGAGGCTTTGTCTTATCCTACTGACACAAAACTCCTCTGTCCTATAGCAATACCTTGCTCTGGCAGAACATTTTTACCCTTCTGCACACAAACCTTCGCAGCAGGTCCAACGTCTCCAGCTCGGGGGATCCACAGTCAACAGCAGCACTCGCACTCTCTCCCCGGCTCTTGGTATTGATATTTGCTAACAGCCAAAATTACTTTTTGGAAAGAATCATCTGGGATGTTATATAAAATAATAAGTCCTGGATCAACTTTACCTTGTGTTTCATTACATCTCAAAATGAAAGTAAGAAAAATAGCACAGTGTGTTTTTTTTTCTTCCTGGGTTCACCAGCTGAACACAGAAAGAGTTGCACTTTAGTCACACAATATCTAGTTTTTAAGAGGTGTATTAAGAGGAGAAAGTAAGATGATGAGAAATACCACTTAAAGTGTGCTGCAGTGTAATACAAATGCTCAGTCTGAAAACCTGTTGAGAGGCTTCAAGGTCAATAGTTTAATTAGTTTAATTTCCACCCATCCACGCATTGATCGAGATAAAAGCAGCGACAAAACGCTGCATCTTACTCTATTAACATCATGCCCACTTGACAAGTCAGTAATCAATGAAGGAGTTCTTCCTGTTTGTCACATTGAATCTCCAGCTCCTGGTAAGTGAATCGATCGTGTCTCTTACAACAAAAACATGCTTTACAGTGTCTTATGTGGATTTATTTTCAGTGGAATAAGTGTTGTGTGTGTGACAGAGAGTAGCAGTCTATGGTCAAAACATTAGGATGCAGAGATGCGTGTTTCTTGGAAGATTTGGTTCTTTAGTTGAGGACTTACTTGCCTGTGGTGATGAGTTGACCTTATCAGAGGAATCCACGGGAACCAACATTTGTGCTTGGGTTTTTTTTTTAGTTGTGAGCATTCAGGCGTGAATGTGAGGAAACAATACACAAAGTTTGCATCTTTATTTCAGTCAGTAGTTGTTTTAATCCACGTTTATGTTAGGCATCAGTTATGATATCTATGTGTAATTGGAGAATATTTAATCATTATCATTTTTTTACCACATGCTTTAAATATAATTCTCTTATTTGCTTTTTGATGTGACTCTCTCAAAGCATGTGCCAATAAAGCTTCTTTGGTTGGTTAAGTCAAGACCTCACTATTAAAGCAGTCAGACCCCGGTGTGATCACCGCTTCATTTTGCAAACATGACTTTCTTGATGAACACTCCCACCTAGAGGTCACTTGCAACTAAACATCTTTTACACAAAGTTGGAATGATATAGGAGATCATGACTTCCTGCATGGGTTTCTTTATTTCTTCATTCTGAAATAACTAGATATTTTAGTTTTTAATTCTGGTGCGAGTGATATATTGAGGTATTTATGGGTTCTCGATTTGATCTTATTTGATAGAGTTTCATTTTCTAATTGTTGTTTTTTTTTGTAAAATTGCATCCCTATAATGGAATTATCATCTGTTTTAACATTATTATTTGTAGTTTTTCAGAAGTTAGGCAGTTTAAACTGACTGTGACTGTCAAACACTTTGAATATACACATGAAATCTGCACAGTTTGGGTGCTGGAGCCTCACTCTTTAATCTAAGTTACATCATTCCATGTTGTTTGTATCCGTACCAGACAGAAGTTTCAAATACGAATCAGCTTCTGAAAGTAAAATAATTTAACTTCACTGCAGTGTTTGGCTTGTTCACATCTTCTTTAACAGCATAGTCACTAATAGAGGGAAATAAATGGGTAAATGCTTTTGATTTTTTTCCTAAATAAATGATTATTGTTCCCATACACAGTTATACAAAGTACATTGTTAAGTGTAATGGTTTTGGTACCGAAAACTACCAATTTTTCCAATTTCATTCTTTTCAAATTTCTTTTTATTTATGTACTTTTTTTTACGTTCTCCATCAACCTTTCTATCTGTGTTTTGACCCACACTACCACCTCACAGTCTATGAAAACCTCAAGAAATCTTTCAGTGATTGTGAACCAAACTTACACTTTTGTTATGTATTTTGGGCAGCCTGGACGTCTACTGTACACTGATCTCTATATTGATATTCTTACTTTGCCTCTGCCTGTCTGTGCTGCTTCCCCTCGAGGGAGGTTAAAGGTCAGGGTTAGATACTATCAGCCTCAGCGGGGGTGAATGCAGCAGGGAAGCAGCCTCTAGACATCCAGATGGAGGAACGTCTCTCCCACCATGAAGCCGTCCTGCCGCCCTGCTGGTGTTACGCGGACCTGTTCACTCCTACATACTGAGCTGTGTCTGCTGTCAGCGACAGTGAAGAGGTAGGACGTGACTGTTTAAACTCACACTGTTCTTGTGAAGTAGATGTGCTGCATATTATTAAGATGTACCATTTAAGAGAAAAGGCTATGAAGCTTATTTTTCACTGCCCATCCTGATGGAAAGTTTAGTATTACAGACACAGTCAGGCATACAGTAAGACACCCCTGCAGTGAGAATTAAGTTATCAAAAACCAGACTCATTTTAAATACTGGTGGACCTGAAATTAGTATACGTAGCCATCCATAGGTTGATACAGTAGTTCATCTAAAGCCTAATGCATGTTCGTAGTCAACAACTGCATACACACATTAAATAGCTGACGCTCTGTAGTGCAGAGCATCTTGCCAAAATAAATGTAAGAAATACAAATATTTTGGTTCAACAGTTTACTCTCTTCGGGTATTTATGATGTTCAAAGGAATCAAGGTGATGCTGAATTCTCAGTTGGTCTGCAGCACTAGATCGTGTTTAGTTGGAGATAGAACAAGACAAAAGCAGTCTGCACACATAAATACTAAGAAAGAAACCGTTTCAACACGTTGGTCAGGAGGAGCACCTTTAAGGTAGTATTATTAACCAATTAAAACAACAGTCCATCATGAAGACTGAGCTAATCAGACTTATTATAGACTCTCTCACAGAAATATTCTTATTTAATGAAAATCTCAACAGCTCTGGTTTAGTAATGAAGCATTACTCCCGTGTTCCTAAAAGTGAGAATTTTTCACACCAGGATATGAGTCGTTAACGGTTGTGTTACCAAAAACTTTCAAAACAAGAAACCACACTGTAAAATTTAAATATTGGCACGTTAGTTTTATTGGAATGTACATGTATTTAGTACACAAATTAAGAAATAACTACAATATATACATATCCTGTTAGTGAACAAATACATTAAAATATTAAGATTTTTAGGAGCAGTGGTTAAGATTATCAGGAACAATGAGAGGTTGTTTAAAAAAAAAAACACACCGCCAACATCAAGCACAGAAGTCAACGAAAGTATTTTTAACTGTATTGTAGTTATGATCTGACACTATGTGACACCAGCTGACTTTAAAGAGCCCATATTATGCCCTTTTTGGGGTTTGTATATTTAATCTATGTTCCTACTTTTGTACGTTCACAATAGCTAAAGTCCAAAAAAAGTGTCTGTTTTCATGTACTGCTCCTCCTTGCTCCCTCTACGCTCTGAGTCCATCAGCTACACTCTGTTGAGCCCACACAGTTAGACTCCACGTGCGCCAAGTCTGCTCTGACCGGTCTGCCGATCCGCTCTGTCGTTATTGGTCAGTTGCTCAGCACGGTTCTCAGAAATGTCCCGCCTCTTTTACCATATTGGGAATGCAGCCACTGGCTCCGTCCGAGGGGAGCATAAACATTAGCACCTTAGCACTACTGTGCTACCGCAGGCTACAGCATATCGTGGGCGTGCTACAGAAGTTAACGGGCGTGCAACATGAGCTGCAGGGCTTGCCTCAACGAGCCAATGGGCTTAGATCAGTGATATCACACTGACAATGACGTCGGACTGACACATTTTTATCGAGGGGGGCTAGAACCGAGCGTTACATGCAGCTAATGCTACAGCTAACAGGAGGACGTAGGAGAAGCCGCGTTTCCGCGGACTTTGAATTTTTGCAAATAGATGTGCCTAAACATGCACAGGACACTTGGAAAACACACTAAAGGGCATATAAAACCAGAAAAAGCATAATATGGGCTCTTTAAGGAAGGCCTCTTTCATTGGTGTTTTAGGGTTTGACCATTTTTGCCTTTATTGTATCTGACAGCTGAAGAGAGACAGGAAACGTTGAGAGGAGTGAGGGATTATATGCAGCAAAAGGGCCATCGTCGGATTCGAACCCATGGCTGCTGCAAAGAGGACTACAGCCTCTGTACATGGGGCACTTGTCAGAAGCGCTAGGCTCCCCAGCACCCCTTACTGGTGCTCTTTAAGGAATTCTCTCATGTAGGCTACCAGGGCCTCAGTGTCTTCCAAAGTTACAGCGTTGTAAAGAGATGCACGAATTCCTCCGACTGACCTGCAGGGGGAGACAAACCGTTTTAGGTGAAAATAATGGAAGATCGGCGCTGTAAGGTAAACATGTGTCTCTTTACATATACCAATTTATTACAATATTCTGAATCCAGTACTCATCAAATAACCCATTCGACATGTCAATAAGTATTAAAGTAACAAACAGGAGATGTGTTGGACTTCTCTAACCTGTGTCCTTTCAGTGAAATCATTCCACGTTTGGCTGCACCGTCCAGAAACTGCTTTTCCAAGGCGTCATCTCCTTCTTTCTTCCCCACACGAAATGGGACATTCATCCGACTCTGACAAGCAGCTTCTACAGGACACCTGGACAGGTAGGCACAGATTTAAAGAGACATTTAAAAAAAAAAAAGCAAAGAACTCCTCCCTGTTGTTTCTTGATCGTTATTGTCCTAGTTCAGTATAAAATCTGTGCAGATATGGTTCAATTAAAAGATTGATCTTTTAGTTATAAAGGAAAAGAGACATTCAAAGACGAGAAGTGAATGTCAGCACAGTGTAAGGTTTCTTTTCAAACTCGATAAGGGAACAAGTTTTCTCAGTTACCTAAAAATTTTTTTAAAAGAGCGCAAGAAAGCTACTAGAAAGTTTCCTTGACATTTCATCATACATGTCCTGCATGTTTATATCCACTGCTGAAGTTTGGAGAAACTTACACATAGAATCCATTAGACGCGCTAATGATGTCATAAATCATGGAGGACTTCTGCTTGTTGAGCCTCTCCATGGCGGCGCTGCCACCATTGTTCTTGATCCAATCCAAAACCAGAGCCATGATGTAGATACTGCACAGACAAAACACATGATGTTAAATATCTCCAGCTCCATTCAGCAAGTACTGTTTGATTTCTAACCACAATATTGTGAAAAAAATAAATAAATTAAAAAAAAGTATTGCATCTTGTATCAATCAGTAGTCTGGACTTGCAAAAAAGCGCATTTCACTTCATTAAGAATTGTTAAACATTTAGATTTCCAAAATGTAACCTAGCATGAGATACACTGATAGCTACTGAGGTGAGTCTGTACCTGAAACATGGAGGTGTGTTGTAGAGGGAGTTATTTTCAGCCTGCACCTTGTAGTCCAGGACGATGGGACACTCTTTCAGGGCGTGGCCTATCAAGTCCTCTCTCACGATGACCACGGTAACACCAGCACAGCCAACATTCTTCTGAGCCCCGGCGAAAATCAAACCAAACTACACAAAGCAAGAAGACACATCAAGCGGAGGTTTTGTTTTTAGAACTATGCTCTGAGGAAGAACTGAGCGATTAGATGGTTAACCTCTGCGTGGTGTCTTTGTACTTTGTCAGGTTTAAATGCTGACAAGAGCTTCATGGCAACATAAACACACTAGTATGCTTGTTTGCATGATAAGATCATCATGTTTTCATGCAGGTAGTTTATTCATGATAACATGTAAAAGTTTAGTGTATAAAAACGTATGTCCACTACTTAGCATGCTAACGATGCTTCCAACAGGTCTTCATCAGTTTTGTTCTTTTATTCCGTCATGTTTCTCTAAATATTTTTTCTTAGTTTATATAATAATATTATACCTTTGTTGACTCTAGCTTGTAAACATATTGATTTTTGTTTTGATTTGAATCACACATGGGAGCTAACAAGTTCTGTCGCCTGATACATTGGCTCATTTCAGGGTTTATGAAAAAGATCTCCAGATTGCTTATGTGATGGAAAATTGGAGAAAAGAAGCCCTGAAGGGACACCGCTGAATATTTGATTCTTGCATCATTCCTGTCCTCACCTTGGACACGTCCACAGGTCGGGAGAGGAAGTTGGAGGACATGTCGCTGACGAGGACCAAGCCGTTTGTTTCAGGCGTGAAGTTGTATTCGACACCATGAACCGTCTCGTTGCAGCAGTAGTACACGTACGAGGCTGAGGGGTTCAGGGTCCAGCTGCTGGGGTCGGGGATTTCTAGAACAACAACAGAACTTTTTTTTTTTTTTTTTAAACCAGACACAAAAAAGTTAACATCTGAGTTTATTGAGAAAGACTGAGGCCTCTCAGATAACAGCTCCAAATGTAAACAAAACCAGCAGCTTCAAGATATTTCACATACAAATCATTAACTTGCTTAATATATTTGTATCCTAATCTGGTCCAAGAAACTACTTTTTTACATTTACTACATTTAATTTCAATGTGTAAAAAAAAACAAAAACCTGCCTACCAAATGTGAGTATGAAGAAAAGTGTAAACCCCGATCAGACACAAGCATGTGGAAGAGGCTGCTCGCATACCACAGCCTCTAATTGGTTGTCAGGTCTTTTGTTTTCTTATGCAACAGCCTGGACACACAGGCACATTATTCAGATGGCCAGCTCTAACGCAGCGTGAATGACAACGACCAGCTTCTACGAGATGAAGCTATCTTTAGCGTTGAATGCTGTTAAATGATAAAACTCTTACTTCTAAACCTCCTCACAGAGATTGAACATTCTCTGTCTTGTATTAAACATAAAAAATGAACATTAACATCCTGCTTGTTTACACATTTCCTCATCGACACACTTACTTGTGTAACTGTCCAGCTTGGGGTGAACAATGTTGACTTTCCCGTATTTTTCCGCTTCTTTCGCTGCCTTTGCCGACCACGTGCCGGTCACGAGGTAATCAGCACACCTGTCCTCTTTGAGACCAATCAGGTTTAGAGCTACGGCACTGAACTGGCCAGACCCGCCGCCTTGAAGGAACATCACCTTGTAGTTGTCTGGGATGTTCCTATGAAGACAAAAGGCATCGTGTTAAACACTGCAGACGTAAAAACATGAGCTTTGAACAACCTAACCATCAACAAGAAGTAGCCTGCAGCCACAACCAGTCTGACATCAAGAGAGGCCATGAGAGGCAGGCGAAGGGAACACAGGTCTAAGGACTGGTCATTTGGTAAAGATGAAATATCTATACAGATGTAGCTATAGCACCGTTTCAAATATTTGACTTAAGTCATATTTTAACATGTGTTCCTGTCTCTAAAGGAAAGAGGAGTGAAGAAAGAGAATAATACATCAATGGGTCATGTGTAAAAAAAACAAAAAAACAAAGGCAGGACTTACAACAACTCTCTAAGGAGACTCTCGGTTTTGTTGAGGATTTTGTTGAAGTCTGATGACCTGTGGCTCATCTCTGGTTTGAACAGAATCACAAACATTGGAACATTGGTAATGCAGAAGATCAGCATTCATCAGGACAGTTATTGCACTAATCTAAGAAACATTTCTGTGAACACACCAACATCCAGGTGAAGATATGACACAATGTTACGTGATGATCGTGAGGATGCAGAAGTTTTATCTAATAAAACATCATGGAGGTCTGCTCACCAAGAACACTGATGCCGGTGCCGCTGTAGTTGAGAAGCTCCTTCTGTGCTTGAAGCAGTACCTGCAACATATCACAAATTCTTTCAGAAACTACAAAAACATTCAAGTGTTGACCGACCCTCAATCTTCAGATCCATGGAGAGACATGGAGCAGAAACTGAAGCTCAAAGACAACAGGATCTTGCTTTTCCAGGTATCAATTTAAAGAAGTGTATGTTAACCCATGGTCCTAGACTTACTTATACAATAGCCAATCTTAGACAAGTGGGGGGGCATTTAAGTTATACCAATGAGTGGGATCTTCATACCCCAATGTGGCACCATTGGTTTCTCTGTATAAATATTGTACCTTTATTGAATGAATGGTGTCAATAACAACTTGATCACAAAAAAAAACGTCTTTGATTTTTTTTTTTTGGGGGGGGGGGGGGGTACTCTGGTCACCAACGAGTTGATCCTGTATTGATGACACACAAAACCTATACAAAATAATAAAAATATGCTAAAATAAGACACTTTTTGCAAGAGAACAAAACGCACATGGGCGCAGCCGTCTCCTGATCCAACAGCAACGACCTGCAAGTTACTGAATATAGCAAAAGTAGAAAAGCAGACTGGAAACAATAGTTTTTTTTTTTTACCATAAAATGTGTATCATAGTAAGTTTTTTTTAAGTGATAGCTGTGATTTATTTCTCTGACATGCATTGAGTAGTTCTGCCCTCTAGAGGCAGGGTGTGTGCTGCTGCCAGTGAGGCACAAAACAGGTTTCCACATGAATGAATGAGGCTGATGCAACTCAACACTCAGTTTTCAGCCTGTTGGAGCTGCAGACAAATGGCAAGCCGACATCACTACACTCATTAACCCACTTACAACTGCAGGCCTGTCTTTTTCTGTGTGAAGAGAGCATGTGGTCAAAATGTGCAAAAACCGAGGTAGGATGTGGTTGAACTCAAAAGATAAACTATGACTCTCGACATTACATAACACTACTGAAGTGTGAGTTTGCAGCAGGCACGTCTCCATCACGAGAAACGGATTGTATCACTTGTGTGAAATGTATTCGTGCAGCTTGTCTTTTACAACCTTTCCTCATTTTATAAACGCTACATGAGCATATACTTGCATAGGTGTCTAAAAAGGATACTTACGGTTTGGGGGAGTTTTGCAGGTCCAGCACCAAAGTTTAAGGTCTGTTTTTGATCCATTGTGCAAAATAGTTTCCTCTGTTTAGTTATTAGATGTTTTTTTTAAGGTTGAAATAAGCGATGTGGATGATTTTCTTTCGCCTCGGCTCTGCTGCTGTTGCTGCTGCTCTCCTCCTGCACTCTTCAGCGTGGATGCTAGTGATCGAGCTAGGTGAACGATGTTGTGTTCACGATCTCCTCGTACATTTTGAAATATCTGCTAAAAAAAACAAAAAACATAAATATAATTGATGGCTTAGCCCATAATATGAACTATTGTGAATTATTGTCCACCAGTTAAAGAAAACACCAGAAACTAAACTTCTGAGTAATTGTCAAAGTGATTCACACATTAAAATCAACATTAGGCATTGCTATATAGACAACAAGCTTTACACAAAACCGTGTGTGCTCTGTAAAATCTTTAACTCATGTTAGAAAAACTTTTTTTTTTTTAAAGAAAATAAATATATAGTGACAGTTGACTTTAGGGATCCAATGCCGTGCTGACGCTGATTGTGTTGTTAATCTGGAAGATTCCTACATTTTTGGTATGACGCGAAGGCAGCATATCACTGAAATTCCCAGTCATCCATTTAATTGGCTGATGTCACATGTCTGTTTCGTAAACTGCTGTGATTGGTGGATATGGACTCAGCTCTGATCTGATTGGTTCCACGGTCATACTACTTAAATGGGAGCGCACGATCAGACGGAAACTTCTACACAAACTGCCTTTGATTTTGTATTTACGTTTTAGTAATAAATGTAGTATCATAACGCTGTTCGTGCTGAATGTAACCTTTCTACAAGTCGATGAAAACTATTACCAGTATTGAAGTGAATGGGTGAAACTCTGCAGTAGATGCAGAAGCTACAGTATGAATAACTTGTTATTTAGGCTGTTAGTTTCCCACACCCTTCTGTTGTGTTACATGAATACTTGCGTCCTCTTACAAGCAATTTGAGAAATGAAGCGTTACCTGTTTTCTTTTTACACATTGTCACACACAGTTATTCATCAGTAGGCTATATCAAACGTTGCATGGAGTTGAATTTCATAATCATGCACACAAATTATACAATTAGATTACCTATATATAAAAAAGTACACATTGCATCTTTAAATGACAAAGTTCACAGAAAAAAAAAACCCTTTGTGCATTTAAAGTCAGTTGTGATAAAATGATTTCCTATGTATTTTATTTAAAGCTGCATAACCCAAAGTGACACCTTAAAACTATTTATTTTGCACATTTATCATCACAATTGATTGGCCTAAAGCATAAAAGTCCATTAAAAAGTGCCATTCCTGCCAAATAATTTTCTGTGGATCTTTTAGCTATTAACCATTACAGATCAGTTGACAAATAAGTGAAAAGTGAGTCGTTGAGTGCTACGAAAAGACACAAAGTGGACACCACTGGACCAAAAACATTTAGTGACATTTTTTTTGTTTTTTAGCTGGTCAAAGAGGTTTTCTGTTTTTTTTTACATTAAACAATAAAGGATGCAGTTGCTTATTTGCTTTAACAAGAAAACCAGGAGCTCAAACATTTTTACATTCAGTGAACCAATGCGGTTAACAGAAAAAATGTGACAAAGATAATTGTGTTTGAGAAGCTTGTGGATGTCACAAGAGGCACCTGGCTGGTTTGTCCTTTTTAAGAGATCACATGATCATCAGTGTGTGTGTGTGTGTGTGTGTGTGTGTGTGTGTGTGTGTGTGTGTGTGTGTGTGTGTGTGTGTGTGTGTATATGTTCCATGCACATACACTGGGTGTGACTCTCTCATCTCCAGAACAAACAGACTATAAATAAATGAACAACGTGCACAGTGTCCAAATGCAGAGCATGACCTTTAGGACTCAGATGAAAGAAAGTGCATCTCTGCTTCTCCTTTGGGTGCCTGGTGATCGATCTCTCCTCCGTCCTCTGTGTCCATGTTTCCCACCCTCACGCGTCCTCTTGAGCGCCACAGAAACACAGCGGGAAAGGCTTGCTTGAAGGCCTTTCTGAAGTTGTTTCCCATGAAGGCATAAACCACAGGGTTGACGGAGGAGTTGGAGTAAGACATGCAGTGACCCCAAATCTTCAACTGTAGAAAAATGAAGACCTAGTCAGTATAAAGCGATGATGTGTATCTAAGTTTATGAGAAATCAAGTTTTGTGTGTTGTTTTTGAATCACAATTCAACTAAACTCTGACCCCCAACACTGATCAAAGAATCAAAGGGCTAGCCATTTCAAAGCTTTTTTGTTGTCGCTGAATTTGTGAGCAAAAAACCGGTGCTATAGTTTCGAAATTCATCCAAACTTAATCTATTTTAAAACAGATCTGACATGATATTTGACCAGCTGTATAAATTCTGTGATTAGACCTTGACAGACATTTATGGTGAAAATAGAATAATCCGTTTGTTGGCAAATACAAGAGTTGGACCATCATTTATTTAAATAAAAGAACAATCTGAAATATTTCAAGAGCTTGCTTGGACTTTTTGATTCACTTATGAGATGCTCCCTTATTTCCCCTCCTCAGTTTCCACCCTCTGTCATGTTGCCCACAAGAGGACACCTCCAGGACTGGAAAAGACCAAATCCAGAAGTGCCCAAAACTGCAGTTCTATATCTGGCCACTTGAGGGTGTCTCCAAAAGTAAATAAATCTCAACAGACACCATATTAAAACACCTAGTTTACAGCAGAACTGAATATGTTTAAAAAAAAAAAAGTTTTAATCTGAATTAACTTGATTTTTGTAGCATGTGTTAAGTATATGGTATTGAATCAAGTAGGTGACATTTCTAGGGAGTGTTCAAGGTCCAAATATTTCAGAAAATGTTGGATTATCAGTAAATATCCAATCATGTACTAAAAGTCAGTTACACCCCTCCAACCAGCACAGTGAGTCTCATCTTATTAAACACTGAGAGTAGGTCACCTTGTATAAAACGTAGCTGCGGAGGCCAAAAGCTTGCAGGAGGATGCAGATCTGGATTGGCCCCCAGCAGATGAGGAACAGGGCCACCATCACCACCACCATCCTGGAGACCCTTGCCCTCACTGCTGCTGCTCGCTCTGCCTGAGCCTGCAGCTGGAGTAAGGTACACTTTGTTAAGTTCCATAAATTAAAGCGGTAACGATTTACTGAGTGGAAAAAGAAAGTGACAGCAACTCTTTTTCTTTCTCTTACTTGGTAGCTGCTGTCGATGGGATTGACGCTTGGCTGCCCCATGCGCTTCAACATGAAGGCATAGCAGGCGGTGATGGTGAGCAGGGGCAGCAGGTACACAGCGAGGAAGCTGTAGATGATGAAGGCTCTCTGGAGATGAGCGGAGGGGAAGACCTCACTGCAATAAGTCTGAGGACCGAACCAGTATCCGTCCTCCAGACGCTGGTACACAGCAACAGGGATGGACAGCAGCAAGGCTCCTGGAGAGGACAGGGGACAATACAGTCTGACTCTGAGCATTATGCTCTTATCTCACAGCATGTTGGGGTTTGATATGTAGTTCAACTTAAAACGTTTTAGGGTCAAATTCAGCAGGATAAGGGGGAAACATGGTGGTTGTTGGTCGCTATATGAATGTCCGAGCTAGATCCAGAGTCAATCTGTTCCCAAAATTTAAGTCACATGACTCCAGCTAACTCACAGATGGTGACAATGATTGAAAGCAAATTCAAAACTAAGGCATTACAGTTTCTTCAAACAGTGAGGCAAAAAACACCCCCAAAAAGTTGTTGAGAAAAAGAAGGACACGTAGAAAGAGAGCAGACAATTCTGAAATGTGTTATTTCATCCTCTGTGCCAATGGGCTTGATACAAAAAAAATGAAGAGTATGTTCTGTTGAAATTAAGTAAAAACGATTGCCGTAAAGTGCAGAAAGAAAGGCTAGTTTGAGCATCTTATATAAACAAATAAAGCACATTTTCAAAACCAGCAGCGTCAAGTTTCAAAGAGCTTCAAATAGTGATTCATGAAAGGAGGGATGTTGGAAAGTAAACAAAAGCAATATGTTGTTTTCTCTGCTTTCATTGCCAGTTTGCATGTCAGGTTTCACATGAGTGTGTTGTGTATTTGTGTGTTACCTATCCAGATAGACACAGAGATGGCCAAAGCCATGCGTGGGGTTCTGTGTCGTAGTGACTGCAGGGGATAGAGGGTCACGTAGCAGCGATCCACACTCATGGCTGAAAGAGTGATACACGTTGCCTGAGCTGTCACCTGAAACACACAGACACACACATTTGTTTGTGAGTTACAGTTAGTCACTATTACACCTCTCTGATTTGTTTTGTCTGATATATTTAAAAAAAAAAAAACTAAAGACCTGTAGTTTTATATGCCTTTACCACTCTGTGATTGTTATTTCTGTTTGAGATAACTTTCTGTTAAATTCAGTTTGATGTGAGAAATCACTGCAGTGCACAATTCTGCTGACTGATTACATTGTAATCCTGCCTCACTGTATTGAATATGCATACGCTACACTCTGTGTACATATGGCAAACTTGCAGAGGAAGGGTTAGGGTTAGGTTAATACCAGAGGCATTCAATAACTGGTAATTACAAATAATGGGGGGGGGGGTAACTTCTGTTCATACTGTGATTATGCTCATTATGCCAACATTATTGATATCAGATCGGAAACTAAAAGTAGCTGTTTTAAATTTTGATCACTTGGTGTCTGTATTATTTTGCTTATTTATTTTTTTGCATTATTTGGTATTTTGATTATTTTGGTAGCTGATACTTATAGTAGTTATTCTGCTCATGGCATGATACTCATATTGTTACAATTACATGGTGTGTGTGTGTGTGTGCTCGTGTGTGTCCACTTACTTGCTGAAGGTAGTTCACCAGTCGGCACATAAACTCCCCAAAGATCCAGCTGGGCAGCGGGTACAGGGTGGCAGTGAAGGGCACACAGCAGACCAGGAACAAAATATCAGTCGTTGCCAAATTCACTGAAAGTGAATGTCAGGTGAAGAATCAGGTAAACGGGAAAATAGACCCTGAATGGCTGCATTAGTACCAATTATATTGATTGCTACAATTTACCAACTTGAATTGACTTTGTAAATATTTTCTCATAAAGGAATGCTATCAGCAGCTTTGTTAAACCTCAACGATACATTCAAAGCTTTTTGTTCAGTCCCCTTAAATGTTAAAAAAACATTGTTTCTTTTTATTTAAAACTGTCACAGGGTTGCTGTTATTGTTTTTAATATCTGTCTTGCAGATAGAATCCCCTCATCTAAGCTTTACTTTAAAAAGTCACAATATCCTCAATAATCTCTTTTCTGGACCCCTTAAAATCCAGTTTTTAGCATCCCATTTCCAACGCTACTAATCTGTGTGGCTAAAAAAAAAACAGATTTTCTTGCACACTGAAAAAGATACAACTGAACCTAAGAGATGTAAACGTTACCGATGTAAAAGTTGGTGACGGTCTTCATCTGCTGGTGTTTGGTGACCACATGGATGACCAGAGAGTTCCCGACCAGGCCGACCAGCATGATGAGGCCGAAGAAAGTGGGGACCAGCCAGGCATCGACTAACACCGGTGGCCCCTGGCCCCCGAGAACGGTGGACTTGTTGCACAAAGAGCCACAGTCTGGACCAAGATCAGCTGCTGATTCCATGATCATCACCACAAATCAAAGCTGGAAACATAAGGTAGTAGTAGTAGTACAAAGTAGTTGTAACTCAGCTAATTTCATTGCAGTCTTTTTATAATAAAAGATCTGAAGAAATTTTTTTTAATTTTTGAATGCATGCATAATTTAACATTTTCTATCAAGTATTTGATTGCAGCCTTTGTTCTTTGATACATAAAGGACAAATCAAGACTGAAAAGTAACAGAAAAGCTAATACCTGTATAAAAAGCTTCTCCTACCTGTGTTGTGCTCTTTGCTTTGTAAAGTAGAGTTTAAAAGGTTTAGTCCCTGTTGATCAGTGACCAGCAACTGTTCTGTTCTCTGCAGGTCTGAGATGAAAGCACAGTTATAGACCACCATTACTGGGGATGGTGGGGGCATTGTGAGGTGAGGGGACAGTGGTTGGTTTGCTTTTTGAAATGGAGAGAGAGAGAGAGAGAGAGAGAGTGAAAGGGTAGGAGCCTTAAAACAAAATCTTCTTCTTCACATGTAATTACAGAGGGCTGTGTGCCCTGCAAAAATGACTGCAGGTAGTTCTTTATAATGAAACATCTATAAAGATGTTTTAGCCAATTTAAGCCTCAGCTAAAACTGCAGATAAGTGTAAGTACAGCTGAGACCTGTCTGAAAGAATAAAGCTGAGCAGAGTCTGACATTTAGCCAAACAGATGTAAAGAAAAAAAAAGTTTACTATTTCATCAGCCATGGCTTGAACAAGGAAATCATACTAACTGACACCTTACATACACAAAAATAAATGAACCGTGCAGACAGCTGGGGGTCGTGGTGACAGTACAGCTTGATCTCTCGTCCCCTTCAGCATGACAGTTTTAAACTGTCATTACGTCCATCATGGCATAGGCTGAGAGGCACAAAGTGACTCATCTTCACAATAGCGCAGTATGTCCAGATGAGGCGTTTAGGGAATAGGTGACGCTAGAAATAAAAAAAAAAGGATGATTGTTTGTGCAACAGACAATTTAATGATATTTTAGCATGACTGGCTGAGATATTTATTTATTTTGGGGCTTTTTTTTTTGCCTTTATTTCGGTAGTTCTGTGGATAGGAAATCAGAAGAACGAGTGGAGAACGGCATGTGAGAAAGGAGCCACTGATCAGACTTGATTCAGGCCCCAGATTGGAGGACTGCATCTTGAGCCTGAGGGCACTGTTATATACATTTGACCAGAATTAAAATAGAAAAGAAGAGATTAAAAACATACTCCTGTGCTCTTACTATTTTGTCAGTGTCCATGTCTCATTTTATTTACATTTATTTGTGTGCTTTAATTTCTTATGTAGTGAGTTTAAGAGTGTGTTCTGTGATTCAGAAGTACCAGCTTAATCACATGAACTGTCTGCTGTAATGTTCATTTACAGCATCCAAAGCATCTGGCTCAGGCTGAGTGATACACATTGTGAAAAGTCTCTTTAACAGCGCTGACGGAACACCTCTTGTCCAATCAGAATACTCCGTTTGGAACTATGTTGTATAATTTTAGATAACACGGCTCGGTTTGAAAGATAACAAATAAGCATGTTGAAAAAGGAGAGAAATAAGAGATCTGCTTTTTTGAATGTAAGGACTGATTGTTTATTCACTCACTGGACTTGTGTTTGGTCCAAGTCTGCACACCCAATATGTATGGACATATGTAATGTTTCTGAAGCTGATCTTGAATAGAGGAAACAGACTGTGAGGAGGGCAGCATATTGGACTTCTTAACCAGGTGTGCAAGGAAGACAGTATTTGAGGATGGAGAGGATGCAGGATCAGGTAGAGAGGCAGGAACACGTTCTCTCAGGCGATCCAACCTCTGGGACTTGGACAACTGGCTGATGTTAACAGAAAGCATGGCTCGAGATCGAAAAGCCCCACGTTTGTTCTTTAAGGTGGAGAGGGTGGCAGAGATGTTTCGAGGGTCAATTTGTGTAACATCAGAAGGACATTGTTTCCTCTCAGCCAAAGCCTTCAATAACTCGGAAATCTGAGAGAGGCAGCAGAGACAGAAAGCTGAGGGGGAGATTACTGACAACTAATGCAAGGATGAAACACTGAGACATTGTTGAAAGGATTCATAAATGATGACATAAACAGTTCAAGTCCCAGTTGAGAGGGTTTTCCGGCAAACAAGTGGCCTGAGTCTGCACAGCATAAACAGTAAAATAATATCAAATGGAGCTGCATCTAATTCAGTAAGTACTTATACAGGGAGAAACATATTAGCTCTGCAGGCAAAACATCAACATTCAAGTCAGCAGCGCTCCTTTTGAAATGCATCCATTTTGGATTACAAAGGTAACTTTAACAACTACAATCCATGTCATGTTGGGCCTATTAACATTTTTAAAATTAGAAAAGGAACAAATAATATGTGGTGTTGAAGAGCTGCAAATATTGGCCAACCCACTGAGAATCACCAGCTAACTAATCAATTATGCCCAACAAAGATTTTCAGCCTCTTAGCTCTTTTCCCCAAATACTTCCTTACTTTGGAAATGTTTCTTTGTTGCTACAATAGGTGGTATTTTTTATGTATTATATTTTTTTTCCCCAAGTCCAAAAGTGCTATAACAAAAATAATTTTCACTTTTCTGCCTTTGCCTTGAGGATTACAGACTGCAACATTCAAAAAAATGGTTTGTCAAATTTAAATGTTTTTCCAAGAACCATGACAACGGGCCTATTGGTTCTAAACAACAAACCATAAGTCAATCTAACAATAACTTTGAATATCTTTCTTTTAGCTACCTTAAGCCCATAAGACTCTCTGCTGTCAGAACCTCCATCCTTGTTGTTTTCATCTTCCATGACCCCAAAGCACCTCAAAGGAATCAAGCAAAACACCCATTGTTACTTCAGTAATGTCAAAATCCTAAAAACAAAAAAAACAGATCATTAAAATTAAACTTTCAAGACGGCCGCACCTCCTTCCACCTCTTCCTGAGTGCAAACAAATCAACCAAAAACAGCTGATGACAGGCTATCAGCTTGCCTTTGGCTGATTTAACAGTGGCACATGAAAACATCTTGTGATCACCATGACAACTGAAGTAATTTTCCAAATGACAACAGGTCAAAGTCTGTCATGTCAAACTGCTTATTGTTCAACAACAGCCACCAGGGTGCTGATGGCCTAGTGGTTAGGTTGCACCCCATGTATGGAGGCTATGGTCCTCTTGGCGGGAAGCCAGGGTTCGGGTCCGGCTTGTGGCTTCTTTCCCCGCATGCCATTCCCCACTCTCTCTCCCTGGTTTCCTACTCTACACACTGTCCAACCCAAAACTAAATCTTAAAAAAAAAACCAAAAAAAAACCATCCACACAATGAATATTACTTGTCTATTTATTATCTCATATGTACATGGACATATTGCACAGTAACAGATTTTAAGAGCACGCAGTCTATCATACAAAGATCTGGCTTTGACCAAGCAAAATAGGAGCCAACATAAACTTCTTGTACTCTTATGTGAGGGATACATGTCTGTTGCATTTCGTTTTTTTTTTTTTTGTGCGCTTCTGTGGTTCAAGGTAGATTTACATTCTTCATATTTACACACAAAGATAAATATATACTTTACAAACTAAGGAAGCAAGACACTCAAACTCTTCCATTTTAGATACTGCTGAAACGTAACTGGATGATAGTATATACTGTCTAGCAGCTGATCAGTCACTCCCCTCCTGCATTCAAGTCATTGTGAAACCTGACCAAACGTCTGAAAATGATGTTCATAAACACTGTAGGCAGCTAGCATCTACATTGTAAAATCATGGCAATACACTTACTGTAATTAACCTTCCTCTAAGCACATAGATATTTGATTTTAACCAGTGTGTGTGTATGTATAAACTAGTGGTCCAAGGAAGAGCAGTGGCAGGAAAACGGGCACATCCACATCTCAAAAGATTTCCTCATATCTGCCTTTCTCAGTCTTCATAGATGTGACGGGGTCTGTAGCAGGGCGGGTGCAGGGAGAACACAGGTTCCATGACGCTCAGATGTTGAAGCTTTCTCCACAGCCACATGTGCCCTTAATGTTTGGATTGTTGAAAACAAATTCACTTGACAGCTTCGACTCCACAAAGTCCATCTCTGTTCCCAGAAGGGTGAGCTGAGCCTTTTTCGCGATAAAAACCCTCACACCTGCAACAGAGTCAAGGTAGAGCTGTCACTACTTAATAGTTCCAACTGGCATCAATGGGCAACTTAGGTTTCGATAAATGTTGTTCACAGTACAACAGACCTATGAACTACTTTGACTATACAGAAGAATGTTTCATTAGTCATAATGAAGAACATTTAAGAGTTTAAAAGTCAACTAGGGTAAAGAAGAATACAACATTGAGCCATAGTTTACCATCCTGCAGTACTTCCTCATCAGATTTCTCTCTGTCCTTGGTGTAGTCCAGTGTGTAAGTCAGTCCATTACAGCCACGTGTTCTCACTCCCACTTTCAGACCAATCTGGAAAAATGCCACACAGTCATGATCATACAGGGAAATCTCAGTCAAATTGACTGAAATCGTGGCTCCAATTATTCAGGGAGCAGGGACTGATCTACTACATGATTGGCTGGTTGCAAAGAGTGCAGCTGACAACTTTTCAACTCAAAGTGCTCAAAATTGGAGTGCTTAGGGGAAAAAAAGACACTGGGTGCTGTGCTTTTTTTCCAGGTGACCTCCTGCTGCGTTCATTTGGAACATAATTTAAAAAAAAAAAGCTGGCACTCAGAAAAAACACCAGGTGGACACAGGCACCAAGAGGTTGAAATAGTTAACTTTTTTTAAACAACCAAAAGCGGATGATACATTCAACCAAGACAGAACACGTTATTGAAATTTCAGAATGTAAACAAAACAGCACCCTGATGTAAATACAAAAGCTGTATAAAGGAAGCCTGTGCTTCATAAGATCATGTTATAGTAAATGTTTTTTCATCCATCACTTACATACTCCGGCTTGTCCTGCAACAAGATTCGGATCTTATTCACAGCTGACGGAGTCTGAATAAAAAGAACGGAAGAAAAAAAGGTTACTAAATAGATACATTACATTATATTATACACACAGACTGCAAGTGGAAGCAACAACAAGTACCTACAGTACAATCATGAAGTAACCATCCCTCCTGTCACTCCAGCTGTTAGCACATTCAAGTGGAGACCTTAAGGAAACTGAGGTTCACTAAATCAGCTACATTCCGCTAATCTCTTAAAGCTGATGTGTATCTGTGTGTGCAACTTTGCTGTTGATGCCTAAGTGAATTAGACATCGTAGCTGTGTCACAGCCTAGATTCATTTCCCAAAAAAAACTGTCGAATAAGTGTGACGGTAACTCACACAACTCAACTCAAGTGCTAACCCCTTTAGTTAACAGTAATACACTTGTTTTTAGCTGGACTAAAAATTATATTTCTCGATTTAACTTAACTTATAAAAGGGAAGAGGCTAAGTGCACTAATTATACATCCTAATATAAGTTATTTTATTGAGTTATTTTATGTGTAATGCATAACTTTGGTAGCATTGACATTCAGTCTCTTCTTAAAACACACTTTTATAGTCTAGCCTTCCTGTGAGCCGTCTTGTTTTTATTATTATGTTTTATTATTATGTTTTATGTTTTATTGTTGTTTTATTGATGGAGATGTCTGTCCTATGATTAACACTTCGGATTCTGTTGTTTTATCCTGTAAAGCACTAAAACTTGCTATATAAATAAAGTGTAGTATTATTATTATATAAGTGTATTATTATTATTATTATTATTTTATGCTCTTGACAGGTAAAGAAAATAACTTAATAAGAAAACCTCTCATGACACACTATCTCCAGCTGCCTCTGTGTTGAGGGACATCCCATTACTTAACGAATGATTTAGCAAGTTACCTTTATCAGCTCTGAACACCATACGCCCACATTATCTTGTAACAGCACTGTAAACAAACTGCAACAGGCTGATATCCACCATCAGACGTTCAACCTCACAAGGTTTTTAATCACACCCTTAATTTAAAAAAACCAAAAAAAAAACATGGCCCTGCAGTGACAGCTGGCCACAATGATGAGAGTCAAAGTAAATCACATTGAGTAGTTTTCAAATTATATTTCATCATTTTCTTCCTAGTATGCTTATGCTACGGGACAGCTACAGTAATGACTGAACGCTGAATTAATTGAGGAACTGAAAGGGTGGAATGAAAAAAAATGTTGGAGGTCAACAAAATAAATGATGTCATAGCAACGTATGGGATTTAACTGAAAGGAAAAATCAACTTAAGAGTAATTTAGCGAGGTGTTTGGATACTAGAAGCCTTCATAATAGTCAGCTGGTCTTAAACTGTGATGAGATCATGTAACAGTGACTATATAAGAACTATACTGATCCATCACATCTTTGTTCTTCTATGTTTTTCTACTCATGTAATTAATTTGTCATAGGATGATACTGTATGGACCAGGGGATGGGCAACTTTGTGTCACAGCAAGGGCCACATTAATTTAATTCTCACCGCCAGAGGGGCCAAATTGTAGGATACAAAAAAACGATTACAGTCAATGTTGTCTCCAATTTAACTCAACATACACCAGTGATCAAACATTATCATGGACATACTTCTGGTTTTCATGATTTCATGGCAGATTTTGTCATTTTTCTTCATGTTTCCTATTAATTGACATGTAAAAGTTGACCTGAGGGCCACCTTGAGGGGTTGATTGGGGCCGTCAATATCAATGACGTCACAGCGATGCACTGTGTAATGTCAGTCAGGTGGTGACAAATGACTACTTTCTTCACTTTAAAACAAATAATTGGAATAAGGGAAATGTGCACGTCAATGTCTGACGTGGAGAAAGACCTAAATGATTTTAATGTTTTCTTGTTGTCGTGATTAATGCGCCGTGTTGTGCTCAGGTTATGAAACGCTTAAGCAGGATCATTACGTTCCTACGACCGAGCATTACACTTACATAACCAATCGTGTGTTGTTGTGTCACCTAAAAAGGGTGTGTGTGTGTCTTACAACGGGATGGCAAAGTATAAAAGCAGAAGTCGTCGTACTGCGTTGAAGTCGCAGATGGTTAGCTGGCGAAGCTAACTGTGGATCACGTAACGTTTGGGCTACAGAACGGAAGTCGCGGTAAACGTAATAAACTCTCGGTAACTGCACACGTAACGATCAAGGGGGTTATTTTTTTTACACGAGTTTACAACCAAAGGTTAACACTTACCAGGGTCAGTGCGGCTCTTGTGGGCAATATCTTTCTTTTGCTGACCGCTCGGACGGTCGCTCGCACCATGGAGGCAGACATGTTTCTAACTGTTAAAAATCACAACATTGAACTGCGCAAGCGCCTAAAAAAAAAAAGAAAAATTGGTAACCGCCCTAAATAAAAAGACCAGTCAATGATTGGCTAATATCATGACGGATAGGGGCAGGAGCCAATGGGCTTACAGATAAAGGTCTGCGCAGATGAAAACAAGCTTCTTTTGCGTAACCTACATGCAATATTAGAGGTTCTGGAAAGTTTTCAGTAACGTAATGAGTATATAAAAATATATATTTTTTCTTAATTTATTACTACAACTGTATTAAAAGATGTTAACTCACTATCAACTTACAACAAGCCTTTTCCAGATATGATAAACTCATTCTTTTATATTTTCTGTGGCATAAAGGTTTGATGGAAACACACTGAACTTACTATTATATCCATAACACAATAAACTCATGAAGTTGCACACTTAGGTCTAGTTTCTTGTAAAAAATACGTTACTTTAAAAAAATAATGGAACAGTAACAATTCTCAAGTAATAAATACAGCAAAAAATGTGTTAATAAAACAAAGGAACCTCAAAGTTTACTCTCCGTTCATTATTTAGCTTAATCAGTGTTATTTCTGAGGATGCCCACAGTTTTTGAGCTTCTCTTGTCGTGTGTAATGTACCACGGTCAAAATTAAACAATTTGAGAGATTGCAACCTTTTCATGTTCTATGAACGCGCACAGAATATATTATATACTAATGATGCTTTAAAATAAATCGAACACACTGGGATTTGGTTTCAGTTTAATGGATTCTTTGAGACACAAAATGGATTGCAAGCCAACCTTTTCTGGCAGGATGGGGGTTCAATATTAACAAATTAACCTTCAATTTGAGTCCAACAAAAGAAATGCAAATAATTGGCATAAAAACAAAGCTACATTAAAATGAGAAGTTTGATTATAATATCAACATTTCCTTTTTTTTTTAATTTTATAAAAGTCAGCCATATTAGGACAACAATAAAGCCAGACAGTCCATATTCAAAGTTAATGATAAGCAGGTCTTAGAGACATAAACTAGCAGCAACATAAATTAAGGGCATGGACCCTCACAGTGCAGCTACCAATCTGTGGCACCATTACAACAAATGAAGCCTTTGTGGCAAATAAATACATTTATCTCTCCACTGAACATTAAACTAGCTCTAGTTTAAGATTATTGGAACAGTGTTTGTAGCAGTGTAAGCAATCAGCTTGACCAGTTCATTGGATTTAGATTTTTTTTTTTTTTACTGTTGGAAAAATGTTTCTTCTTTATGTCCAAACTGTCTTATGTGCACAAAAGTTACACTTGCTAGTATTTGTATGGGAACAGACACATGGCAGGATTAACAGAGTAAGAACAGTCCTACCATTAAAACTTAAAGGCGGATGAGGGGCAGCATGTGTCATTTCCATGAATTAAGCAGTGGATTAGCAGTTTGAAAAACAGAAAACATTGACCCTGAAAAAAAAGAGAAAATCCACAGGGATATTCCTGGAACTCAGAGACACACGAACACAGAGATATATTGTAAGTAGAGCTGCTTTATAGGCTGAAGGTGAGATGGTCTGATGGACATCAGTGCAGAGGACAAATCAAACTGAATTTTAAAGAAGATCCAGGTCATTGTGAAAGGTACACCGTCATTCAAAACTTCCAATGGTTATATAAGAAATGTATCTCATTAAGTAAAATCTCTACACACATAAGATGACATTTGTCGTAAAACCATGTAACTCTAAAATAAGAACTTAGTGAGCTGAAAAGTGACTGTATTTAAAATGGGTGATGAATTGAATGGACTTTGAACTATAAATAGCAGACAGCATGCCGTGGATATTGCAACGTCTATTTGTCTTATGTATAGCTGAGTTTAAAACACAAGAGTGAGTCTATCAAAGAGTTGTAGACTCAGGTTTAAGACGAATATGGCTTTTGTTGTCTGCTGAAACAAAAAAAACTCATCATTGGATCTAAGATGATTTACTATCAGTCACTTAACAGACACTTCTCAATTACTTACAAGTTAAGAGATTTCAAACTGAATCTGCAAAGAGATTGCTTGAAAAAGAAATGAGTTTAAAAAAAAAAAAAAACCTGACTGGCAGTGTAGGAAAACAAAGGTGTGAGGTGCATGCACAATGGCTCATAGTGTTAAAAAGAAAGCTTTAAAAAGCTCCTCTGAAGAGGAGAGCTTTGGGGGGGAGAAAAGAAAAACACATAAAAAAGGCCCTATTTGGCTTCAAGTCAAGGCGTCCTGGCTTTGGCTTTTTTTTTTTTTTTTTTTTTTTTTGACGGGCTCACACTGGCCCGACAGTCCCGTTCAGATTCAAGGATCTCTGGATTTTTGGTTGCTCTCTGCCTGGACAGGAGTGGAACCTCATGGTCAATGTAGCCACAGCTGCTGCTCATTCCACTGGGCTCTTCCTGTGAGCAGAGCGACCCAAATTTCGGCAGGCTAAACTTCCTGAAACAAACCAGGGTGTAATTGTCAAAACATATTTTAAAACCTGCACCAAACCTCACTTTTTGTCCTGCAATATCTACTGCTCCTCTTAGCCGGCTAAATAAAAAAAAGGACAGACTGCCCTGATAAACTGACTGCTGTATTGGTTTTATTTGCTGCTTTATTAAGAAAAGAACAACAGAACTCACAGAAACTGTCCTTGGAGGGTAAAGTAAAGGACAGAAACAAAAGCAAAATGCTAAACTTAAGCCAAAATAGCAGCAATTGTGATCTCCAGAGAACGATGGATCAATCTGAACCTGCTGCAAACATTTCTCGCTCTCATTGTCTGTCCTCACCAACCCTAAAACAAGACAGTCGAGCCAAAGTACAACAAACTGTCAGCTGAGACTAAAGACCGTTAACTAGATACAAACTTAATAGAGCCACTTCACTTTGTAAATTATACAAGTTGTTTTTTGTACAAACAAGGAATGCTTCAGGGAAAGCAAGTCCTTTTTAAAATTGTCTGACTCATATTCCAGCAATCATTTCTCACTAAAATAAACACAGTTTAGACCATAAGCTATACAATGACTGACACTCAGGTGATACACCTGACAGTACTAAGGGATTTTAACGTTAGGCAAATATACATACCTGCTTGTGGACTTAATATCACATTTTGTTGCTTTCTCTTCTTGTCTTCTTGTATCGGTGAACCCTTTAAAAAAAAAAGAAAAGATAATAGAGGTATACGTGAAGAAGTGTACACAGCTCATTCCTGTAGTTTCAAAGTTTAAACATTGAATAGATGTTTTTAATCAACCTTCACAAACTTGAGCTCATACCTGCTTCTCTTTTTCTCTTAAATTCCTCAAGTGGGCTGACGAGGGTGAGGAAAAGCTTTCTGTCCTCATGTTACCTGCAAAATTAAAAATTAGAGTTTAAAAGGAGGCAACTTACCTTTTACTTCAGGTCAAAAAATAAATTTAAAAAAAACACCCCCTCATAATAACTCCCGAACTTTGCATCCTATTGCGTAAAAACTAAGGACAAAGAATATTTCCAGTTCTATTTAAGGATTAATAACCTTTGGAAACAATGCATTAGGATAGACAAATCACATAGGAAACTTTGTTTGAACCTGCAGGGCTTCTGTACAGCTGACAGTCCTTCTTGATGTGGGCACTTGATCCACACAGGAAGCAGCAGCGCATCTCCAGTGCATCTCTTTTCCTCCAGTGATCACTCTTGTGTCGGATCTGATCTTTGCCGTCTTCTCCATCGATTCTGTCTCGAAGATGTTCTGGCCTTTTGTCAGAGTCCCTTCTATGCCTTGCTCTACTGTATATTACAAAACACAGTTTCAGACATGGTGCAGATGGGGTTTTTGTATCTTTAAGTTAACGCTGTGGCATATTCAGACAGGTTTTGGAGTTCACCTACTTCTTACGCATAGGGCAGTCCTTCATGAAGTGACCAATCTTGCCACAGATGCGGCAGCAGCGGTCATTCGGAGCCACTTCTCCCTCAGTTAGGACTTCAGGATCAAAGAAATACTCCTGGGACAAATTAAGTCAAACCACAAGTCTTAGATTATACCACCAAAACATGCAAATGTGAAGTTGAGAGAGCAAATACTGACCATGTGACTGGGGTACACAGGAGGAAAGGCTCTGACTGGTGTTCCAAACACCGTTCGGCCATTGATGAAAGCCTTCATAATGAAGTTTGTCACTGTTTGGATGGTAAAAAAAATAATAATAATTTAGATGTGAAAGACAAAAGACAAGACAATGTGAAAAGGAAAACAAGACAGATGAAAAACAACAAAACAGACAGAAAAGTCTTACTTTTCCTGGACAGACCAGCACCGAGATTATGATTCAGGTCGAATGGATCTGTAATAGAATAGAGAAGAGAAGGCAATGCAATTTAGTGGTTTCCTATTTTTCTAAGCTGCCACACAAAGTTTAAGTTATTGTTACTCATAGTTGTATGCATTTCTAAAGCAGCAAGTAATGATTCCAAAAGTAACAAAAACAATCCATCAACCAGCCTGCTATTTGGAGAATCTTAAAACAAGTTTTAAATGACTTTCCAAATCCAGATTCTAAAAAAACAATGAATCCAACATTCGGTTACCTCTTTAACGCTTCTACACAAGGCAGGACTGAGTGTGTTGTGCACGACTGACCTTCGATGACAATGTATTTGGACGTCCATTGTTTGTTGAAGGTGGTGAGGCGGCCGTGCTGACGGATGCAGACTACATGCTCTCTGAAGTCGAAGTCCTCGGTATAAAAGCGCAGCAGGCCGAGCCACAGCTCCCCCACCGTCTCCGTGTTCGTCTTGTGCTGAGGCCAGCGAGTGGGCTGCAGCGGGAAGGAGGAAACAATTGAGGTGTTGGCGAGACACTCAGTGATACCCATTACTATTTACTAAAAGGTATACATGAGCACACCCGAAATATTTAAATCAAATTCTTACTAGTGTTTTCAAATCATCAAAGAAGTACACGTTCCAGCCATCAACTAGATTCTCCGGCTTCTGTTTTCCATCATAAATCTGAAAAATAGAGAAGTCGTTTATGTTCATTTTGACACATTAATGGCTCATATTTGTGTTTGTAGGCTCCAGGCTGTTTGTAGTTTTTCCAGATTCTTCAATTGTGGACTTTCACTTTGATTGAATGCTGCACAACGGCAGCATATGAAAATAATGAGTAAAGTTTCGATCTAGTCTAAAAGTTCATTTATTAAATGAATAGGGAAGGGAAGGGTTATTTGTGCAGCACATTTCATACAGAGGCAAGTCAAAGTGCTTTTTGTGCATTTGGAAGCAATAAAATGGTGACATAACTTTCCCCTCTCTGTGCCTCATTCGATCATTCTTTTAAATGAGCAATTCATTCGGGCTTCTTATAAACCCCGGGTGCGTGCACAAAGCGAGGCCATGCAGACTTTCTTGAGTCAGCCTTGAGTAGATAAGGCTTGCGTTGAACAACTCCAGGCTTAATTGGGAGATGGCGCTAGTTTCAGCCTTGTTTTTTTAAGGTGAGCTTGGCTTTCTTGATGGAACATTGATTGAACACCCCCAGGACCCGTTTGTCAAATTTCAAGTCAATCCAATTTGCGGAATGAGGGGCATGGTCTTTCCAAAAGTTACTTGTTTAGAACCCTTAATTACAACACCATCATCTGGCCGATTGGGTTCATATTTCTTGGAAGCTAATCATTTACAAGTTTCTTAGTCGGAGCTAGAACCCGTATTACATGAAATGTAAGCTGAACCTTTTTCACCCAACATGCCCTAAGTACCTCTTGCAGCACGGGGATAACTGGTGGGTTTCTCTGCTGGAGAAAGAACAGCACCATCAGGGTGTAAGCGTAGGACGAGAGGCTGCCACGTGAAGCATCACCGATGTCACACATCTGTGATGAGATTAAAAAAAACAAAAAAACTGATGGTGATACAGCTGAGTGATATAATCTGCAGTGTAATTATGATACATTACATTTGGCTTTAAGTATTCAGAGCACACTCACCTTGGCAAAACCTTCATAACGTAACAGAGGACTTTCACTCTCCAGTCGATAGCAGCATAAGAAGCCAGCAGGTGTGTGTTGTGCAGAGCCTAAAAAAAAAGTTTCAATTAAAGCTTGGCTGATTTAAGACAATATGATGTTTGAAGACAAAACAAAGAAAGAGCTTTACCAGAGTGTTGTAGAGGCTGATGTCTCCCTCCAGGCCCGTGCGAACATGGTAGAACTTCACGATGGGAACTTTGGCTGTGGTGATGGGCAGGATGTTCTTCAGACCTGGAGACAGGGTGCAGATTTAGAAGCAGAAGACACACAGGCACTGATGTAATCATTTGATCAATAAAGAGTTCATTAATGCCAAATTTCCTGTTTAGCCGTCCACTTAAATATTTTTTTTAACAACAGACGTTGAAAGATTTTTTTTATCCCCCGAGGGAATGTAAGGGAGGTGGTGTCATGTACCGCTAAGGTTGCTCAGTCCTTTAAGGGCCGCTGATTCAGATTGTTAGAACATTGGTCAGTAAGATACAAGAGATCCAAATAAATCAAGATAAATCATATTTGTTGTTTCGGGCTACATGAATGGAATTGCCACAACTCACCTGGGTGTTTCTTCAACATTCTTGCCAAGCCCTCAATTATGTGAATGCAATCAACATCCTGTGGGAGAAACACATTAGATAGATTGAGGCTGGAATGAAACACAAATAATTACAAAGGACCAATGAAAGACTTTATACCATGATTCTATCCAATCATTTGTTTTTATTGTGCAGTTTCTGAACTAGAAATCCGGTCAAGTAGCAAACGTGCATTGCTTATGAAAACTAAATATCCAATAAATGCAAATTTGGAATTTCTTGTACAAAGAAAGCTAGGTTTGAACAAGAGCTTACATGATAACATAAACAGATGAAAGTCTGCTCAGGTGACTGCATACTAAGATAAACAGATAACAGCAAAAACTAACCCCTATGGTTTGCTGCCCCTCCAGCACCATACAGATGTCTAGATCACTCTGTCTGAAGCCAAAGCCATTTTTGGAGGATCCAAAAAGTTTTAGCCGAGCTCCTGTTCATAAAAAAACAAAAAAAAACAAAAAAAACAAAAAAACAGAAGTTCCTTCAGTTTTGTCATCAAAGCACTCTGTTCTCAGCACAACGGTTAATGTGCAAGTCAATCAAAATGAAAGTATGCAGAATCCTGTTTGAAACTTAAGATGGGGAGGGGGGGGGGGGGTTCCTTTACCAGCAAACTGTCTTCTGACGAAGGTCTCCAGGTCCTGAAGGATGTGCTCTCTTACATCAACTTCCAGTTCATCATGGGCAAAGTCAGCTGGAAAGAAGAAAAAAAAAAACAGACCCGATTCTTTAGTTTGATAAATTACAATGAACAGCATGACTTTAAACAAATAAAACAAAGAAGAATTGCAGTTTTGTTAAAGAGTTAACTCAACAAGAGATTCACTGGAAGGATTTCATAGGTTAAAAAAGTGGACCAATTTGAATACAGTATTCATATTTGGGCCCAATTCAAATACAACTCCCACTGCGTCCCCTTAGCTTCCTTCAAAATAACATAACTAAAGTTTATTTCCATCTTATTAATCATTCGTCACAGGATTGCTCTGCACTAACACATCTTTTAAATATTCAATAAAATATTTTTTCAGACATCCCAACATCTTTCTGACAGCGAGACTTGAAGCTTTCCTCTATGCTCATTTTTTCTGCCTTATAGACATACGTGGACGTTGCTTATGGTAATGATTGCTGCTTCATGAACAGGTGACATTCATCAGGTTAACACAAGCAGTTTACAACAAAGTGATGAAAGCTTTACTGAAGCCAACATGACGCACTACATCAAGTAAACCTCAAACAACAGTTGTTATTGTAGCTAATATCATCTTCGACCCAAAATATTTAATGTAGTCACATAATACTCACTGAAGCACTGCTCGCAGACTTTGTTTAGGACATTGAGAAACTCAGGAGTGATGAGTGGCAAAGGGTCCAGTTGTACTTTCTTGAAATCTTCCGGACAGTCTTTCTTCAGGTGTCCGTCACGCTTGCACAAGCTGCACACGACCATGTGGGACTACGAGAGATTAAACTCCATTAAGTTTGTTTGCAATCATTTCTTGCAAAGGCTAACTTCCAGTTGAGGAAGAGATTTCCACGTCACTTTGAAATATTCATTTAGGATTTAGACTGTTTTTTTTTCATTCACACAGCATGTCAAGTGAAAACAATCATGAGGCTTTACTTACCTTTCCTTTAGTGAAAGCTTGCCTTTTGAATTCATAAGATTTTTTCTTCTGTTTTGGGGGTTTACTCCCAGTGCTCTCATCTTTACTTGTACTCTCTGAAGGTGGAGGTGAGACACTGTCAAGTGCCAGTTCCGCCTCCTCTTCCTCCTCCCCCTCTTCCTCATCCATTGAACCAGGTGTGTCCAAATCTGGACCCTCCTCATCAGACAAAAGCTCCTCCCCTGAGATCTCATCCACTGGGAAAATCTCCTCATCCTCTGTTGTGAGGCTGTCCAAGTGATGTCTGTTATGTGCGTCTACATCCTCATCATCCTCATCCTCGGACAAACTGCTTTTACCCAGGTCCGCTTTTTCCTTCTCTCTCTCCTCGTCCGAGTCACTGTATTCTTCCACTTCCTCCTCTTCCTCGATAATGCAATCAGAGTCGTCAGGACCATTTCCTACAGCTTTAGGTTCATGTTGGGACTGAACACTGAGCTGACTGAAATCTGAGGAGAGGACGTCTTCGTTTGAAACCTGGGCGTTGGCCCCTTTAACGGCTCCATGCTGTGCCTGTGTCTTCTGACCGGCAGCTTGTGCGTTGAGCGGCAGTGCAAAGTATTTGTACGTAGTTTTGAGGCAGTGGACCATGTACTCGAACATTTGCTGGCTGTTCACTGTGCGGGCCACATTTCTCTTCACAGCAAAGGGATCTGGATAAAGGAACAGTGACAACAGTTAGTGTTTAACAAGGTAACAGGAATCAGCTAATTATTTAATACAACAAACAAACATGATGTTCTGAAGCTAATGAATGACTACAAATGGCAACCATATTCAAAAGCAGAAAACTGGTTTACAAGCCTGACAACTACATTTGAAAGCTAGTACTGAGCCCTGTCAGAACACTGAAGCTTTTCAATGTTTTTTTTCCCAGTTCCCTTAATTAAAAAGTTTTTAAATCGTAAAAAAAGAAAAGAAAAAAAAAAGGGAGATTTTCTGACCCTCCACAGCGATGCGTTTCTTCGGCCAGTCTTTCAGTTCTCTGGAGAGGATGGCGTTGGTCCGCACGCTGATCACATTGTCAGCAATGATGAACTCCAGAGAGTAGAAGCGAAGCATTTCAACCCACAGAAGCCCAACTTCCACAGGCGGGTGAGGACTCGGAAACACCAGTGGAACCTGCGAGGAAACAAAAAGATACTGCTCATACTTTTTCAAAACGGTCAGGATTTCTTGACCTTATCAAGAATGCATTCACTTTTTTTTTTCTCTTAACCACACTCACACTGCACTTAAGTCTGGCTCACACTGTAGGATAATCGGGCCGATAATCTTGAAATTTAAATTTTTTATTTGTTTTAACGTGGCCCTAATCCTCCGTCATAGAAAACACATCAGTCTATGGCAAAATAAAATCTAGTTGTATATTACGTACAAAAATGAGCCTTCACACTCGTCTTCTATCAAAACACATTATTGTCTGCATTTTACCTTTCCCTTTATACAGGAGCCCTCTGCAGGCTGTAAGGAGTCTTTTGAGCAAGGAGAGTAGGACCAGTGTAAATGTCCGTCCTCTACATGTGTGAGATTGAAGTCCTTCAGTCTGCTGAGTGAAAACACCTTGATCTAAAATAAGAAATGAGATGACTAATTAGCTTCAGCAGAACACAACTGCCAGAGCAACACAATGAACTTAGTACTGCAGATCTTGTTTTTCAAAAAGAACGAACGCAACACACCTCTTGTTTCAGGTAGCAGGGCAAGAGAGGCTCTCTGCGCTGCTGTAAGAAGAAGATCACCATGAGGGCAAAGACGTAGGGTGGCAGGCCACCTTCCTCTGCACAGTCCAGCTCACAGATCTGAGCCAAAAAGGAGGAACAACAGTGTGACAAACTTAATGAGATGACTGAAATAAATGTACCCACCAAGCCCCTTGTGCTTGTAAGCTGGCTAATGTGGAGGGGGGAGAAAAAGATCTCAACTCTGAACATACCCGAGCCCAGCGCCTCAGTGCCAAAACCAGAGGGAGGATGAGATGCTCCTGACTGGACAGAGCAGCCAGATAGGAGGTGGTTTGGAAGGCGTTGTCATTACCTGCGCTGACTTTGCAGATCAGTCCGCTGGTGAAAATCAACAGTTACAGTTTTCATTAGAGGCTTGTGCATCAGGCTAAGTAACCCTGAAACGAGCACTTAATCTTTTGGTATTTTCAGAATGTTTTAATCAACGATTAACTGTTTTAAGATCACTTCTGTAAATAATACAGTTTGAGTCAGAAATCTAACCTACAAATATGTTAATAACACTGATCAACTGGGGTAGAAACTAACCTCTTTTTGTCTTTGCAGATGACCACAGGCACCCTGGCATGAAAATCAGCTTCCAGATCAACAAACAGAGCTGAGGACACAACAAAACAAAACACGTGAACTGGTCAGACTTCCATGACAATCAAGCACATGACTGAGTTTCCCTGAGTGGAACAGGGAAAAAATCTTGCTGTTAGACGAAAAAGAGGTGACTCACGGCTCACAGAGAGAGTCTCCTTGACCGACATCAAGACGTCTGGCTGATGCATCTGTGGATACAATCAATGTGAAAGATTTGGAAGATTACTACAGTATAACATGGCGTTTACCTCTGGAATGTAAATGTAATGCAACAAAAAGATATTAACTTTGGCAAACTATTACAGCATGACTGTATCCCTCTCCATCACAAAAGATGCTGTTCAGTCATATCAGATGTAGATTCATTATCTTTAACCTGAAAGTCATTTGACAGGATTTCTTATCCTGCATCCTGTGGTATGAAACTTGAAAGTTACACCTTGTAACAGTACCACTTGTCAGTCTTCTTTGATATAATATTTGTATGTTGAATGTTTGTTTTCTTAAGAGGCGTGCAAGGGTTTTCGTAGAAGTGACAAAAAAAGAAAGAAAGAAACAGTATCATACCATCACACTCACACTGGGCTACTCACGTGAGGTGGATACTGAATGTCAATGTTGACATCCGAATCCTTAAATCCAAACTTAGTGCAAGATGATCCATAAAGCCGGAGTTTGATCTCTACAGTCGAGAGAGAGAGAGAGAGCGAGAAACAGAGAGAGGAAATAATACTGTTAAAATTAAATCATGACTCTCAGAATAATTAACTGATAAAAAGCAGAAGCGACCTGTTTGCTGGAAAAGCAACATCACCATCGGAATGAATTCAGGGGCACACACTACGAAGTGAACTCAAAATGTGACCCAATATGTGGCGTGTCAGACAGTTTAGGACATAATGTTTTATCTGCAGCCCTGATGTACACAGAGTAGTATGGGCATCATAAAAATGATTATAAAAACTCAATTTAAAGTGGTAGGTATGCTTAATTGTAGCCAAAAGTAGCGACTTCAGTACTTTGGTTTGGACTGTTGTATGATGATAACTGTTAAGTATTAAACATCACACAGGAAAGGCAAAGTGTTCACCGGTCTATCTCTCCTCCTTCCCCTAACACGATTCTCACAGAGCTGTGTAAAAGAGATGCGTTTGGTCAGTAAGCAGGTTGATCTCTTGTTATGGCTAACTACTCAGGAGTTTTGTATTCAGCATAAATAATTATTGTGATCTACTCTGGTAAGAAGTGAACTATCTAAGTAGTCCTAAAAAAAAAAAAAAAACAGCGTTAACCCCAAAGTCACCCCAATGAACGCAATTAATGCTTTGCCGTGCACTCCCCTGGTCATGCCCCCTCGAGGTACCAACTTACCAGGCAGGACGGACAGAAGGAGGTCTTGCATGTAGGAGACAACACACTGTCTGTCTTCAACATCCTGGTCGTTCAGCCCATGATCTCGGACCACAGCCTCAAGTGCAGCATTCACGGCACTGATCTGCTCCAGACCAGGAGGAAGAATCTCCGTCAGCATTACCTGCTCCTGCCGCTCCTAGAAACACGCACCCAAGATAATTCGTTTTTTTTAATGCATAAAGACTTTTACTGCAAAATGACAAGACAGTAGCAAGTATCTGAATAAAAATTAACTGGGATCATTCAAAAACAGATTTTCATGATTAACACCAGTTCTCACCTTGGCCCTCTTCTTGTGCCGTTTGTCTCGAATATGCCTGTAAGCATCAGACACAGATTCCAGGAGAACGTCGCACAGAGCGCAGGTGTACAATGCAGCAGGGTTGCTGTGGGATCTCTGAATCAATTTTTGTTTTTTTGAAGGATGAGAGTACAGAAATCAGACAACAGCTCCATTTCTAACACTTCACACGTGTTCTAAGAAAGCTGTACGTTAACTTAAATATTGTATTGCTGACTTACTCTCAGAGAAAGTACAACTTATGAGGTTAAGCAGTTATAAAATGATCTTATCACAGCAAATAGATATTTATATCAAAAGTCTGTCAATTTTTTTTTTCTGTGTACCAAAAACATTGTCCCACATCCTGAGATGTCCTGTTTTTCTATCCAACAGTCCAAAGATTCAATAATAAACATTTACTGTAAACTTTTATCGAGAAAAATGACTTTTAAAAAGTGAGTTATTTGTTTCCATCAACTAATGAGTGTTTATAGCATCTCTGAAGTTACACAAAACTGATGTATTTGGGGTATGATGCTGCCCTCAGTGTGCTGTACCTTCTTTAGAGGGTAGATCTCTTCTTTGTTGAGACGCCTCTCTGCTTGCTGAAGGCTGCGCAGTTCTGTGGCTGAGAGTGTGGACTCTTCAAGGCCCCTATTCTCTTCAGCGAATGTTTTCTTCTTGTTTCTGTTTCTCCGTCTCCTCCCTTCGAAACGAAGACATACATGTGTCAGAAATATGCTCACAGTGTCTCACTGAAGAAACCGTTCGTCAATATTGTGTAAATGTCCTGGATGGTGGAGTATAGCTAGTTGTTACTGTCAGACTCAAGCTCGATTTGAAAATGCAGCATCACACATCCCTGTGATCAAGATCCAATTTGTCACTGTAGACAGACTGCTTCTCAATAGTCCTAAAGGTTGGGACAGTCTTAGAAGCGTAGAATCCTTACCTGATTTATTAGGTCCACCATCATTGTCCTCTCTCCTCCCCTGCTCCCTGTCCTCCCTTGGACCTTCCCCCTGGGTACTCCTTCCCCAGTGCTGCTGTGAACGCTCCCTCCAGTTATCCTCTCGACCTCCACCACTGCTCTCAGGACCAGAGTACCACCGCGGGTCATCTTTCTGCGAGGGGCTGTGACCTCCCCTGAATCCACCAGGGGAGAAACTCATGGGCCCCAGCCCTCCCTTCTTGGGACTGGCCCGGTACGGCCCGCCATGATTCCTGCCCTGCTGACCTCCATCTGATCTGAAGCCTTGTCCTCTACCTTGGTCCTGGATCCTCCAGCTTTCTGCTTTCTCTGCACCGGCTCCCCTCTCCCAGCCGCCTTGCCTGGCCCGGTAAGGCCTGCCCGAGTTTTCCATAATTCACTTATGCTAAAACTGAAAAAAAAAAAAAAAAAACATCCCTTAATATGAAACTTGCAGAATGTATGATATAGCTCAGTCTTTTAAGCAGTGTGCAAACTTGATTAGCTGCAGATATACTGCCTTTGGAGGAGGAAACTACAGAAAGTTGCCTCTGAATATTTTTTTTAACTGAACTTTTAAAGAGTCAACTTCAGCTCAAAGCATTTACAACTTACAGCTGCAGAACTTTTGCAGCTTAATAAAAAGACAGCCATGATCTAAATCTGTCTGCTTAAGTTAGGCCTGCTGTACAGTTCAAATAAAGCACATAATAGTGTTTTATAGTGATTATGGCTTCAGCAAACACTGGTCTTTTATTAGTTATGAACCTTGACAGCTCAACATCTGACCACTTGGATTAAACACCATTAACCCTGGCTTCATGTTACCACACCTATCACTAAAACAACATCACAGCCAAGACACACACGGGGACTGTTTGCGTTGAAATGACTTAAGTTATCTCTCTTACTCCCAAACATATTAGCAAAACAACTTGGCAGACTTCTGGGAGCTTGTGATGGCATGGTATTAGCATCAGTTAGCAGGCTAGCTTCTGCAGAATGATTTGCCTCTTAACATCAGAGCTTCTTCTTCCTCTTCCTCGGTATTGAAACTCTACCTAACATGTAGCTAACACGCCTTCAAGACGTGCAAGTTCCTCACCGAAGTTTACCATTCGTCAACAAGTCAGATACAGATACGTTTCTGTTAGCTACTGCTATTTAGCCTGCCGTCTGTGACAGCTAACAGCGAGCTAACTGATTAGCTAACAACGACCAGCGTTACTGTTTATTTTACATGTTTATCTTAAATCTGCAGCTGTGGTGAAGCCTGCAATCCGTCTTATCGGCTATTATAACCCGTATCGGTTCTAAAAACAAAAACAAAATACCTTTTAGTATGTTTACAGAGGGCATACTTGAAGCCTTGCTCAGGTCTGACTTGGCATGATCGCTGGTCTCGTACTGGAGTTTGAAAGGTTACGTACAGGCTGCTGTTTTGTAGCCGCCAGCGTTTTTAGTCCCGCCCACTGCAAAAACACAGCTCAGAGAAAAACACAGGTCTGGTGTTTTTTTTTTTTTTTTTTTGTTGTTGTTTTTTTTACCAAAACATTTTCTTCTTTAAATTTGTAAAATGAAAACTGCATTAAGAGGGTTTTTGGACAGTTGTTAGTTTTAAAAAATAATAATAAAAAAAAAGACAAAGACTTGCAGTTGGAGCTATGAGTAAACTATGACATAACCTCAGTCTCCACCCATCTGTTTTCCAAGGGTTACTATTTTTAGTGCCTTAATTGTGCGTGATCAAAACAGCATAGGGCCAACTTCATATAAAAACATTCTATTTTCAAAACATTTTAACTCATAATATGCATATTATGTGTGATTTTCATGGAGGACATTTGAACATTTGACTGTTGAACATTATGGACAATAACATGCATCCCTTACACAATCTCGTGTGTGAACAAAAGAGTGTTTTTAGTGGGAGGCTACGGCAGCTAAGCTGCAAAAAGGACAGATTTAAAAATACTTTTTTACCTACTGCAATTGCACTTTACAACGACTCCCCTTTAGGTAAGGACAAAAGACATTTAACCTTTTAAACTTTAGCCTGAGTTGCACATATCATATATCAAACTGTATTGTGGGCTCATGTTTTTTGTATGGGTGGGATATGTATGCATATATGTGTTGTGTTGTGTGTTTATATGTATGCTGGCTGCTGGAACACCCAAATTTCCCTGCTGGGATGAATAAAGTATATCTTATCTTATCTTATTTCGTGTCACATAGGGACATCTCATGTGAAGACATTGGCTACAGATTTCTATTCTGCTAAATTAATCCCCAATTTTTCTGGTAGGATTAACATGTTTATTAAAAATCAAGAACAACAAGTCACAGGCCTAACTATGAGATTTCAGCTGGTAAAAAATAATGACGCTCGGACCCTATACCCTAGTCTCTTCCTTTTGGACTTCTTTAGCAATGTTTGACACTTAATTGTTTTTAAATATATAGAAGGTCATTCAGGAAAATGTAAATTAAATGACTTCACTTATGTGTTTTTCGCACGTTTAACACATTAATTCAGCACAATTAAATATTATCATCATCTTCTAGGTAAACATTTCCCTGTGTGAACATTTTTTTTACTATCTTAAGGAAACGATAATTTGGTGCTATTAGATTAAGCACTCAAACAGCACATAGTGTGGCATATGGTTCAAGGTTTGGGGTAATCAATTCCTACATGGGACAAATTGTGTTTCGCCTCGGTTGCCGGGGCGACGGGAGAAAGGTGCGCTGCACGAGCGGGGTAGACCCCGGGAAACTGACGTCAGCATATGGAACTCCCCTCACCAGCTCTCTCAACCAACATCCAGTAGACAAGAGTTCAGTAGACTAATGAATAGGTGTGCGAACAGGCTCCAGTGAAAGATACCGGAGATGGTGTCATTTGAGGACGGTGAGAATGTTTACAAAAGGAGAAGAACGACCCCAGCAGTAGTGCTCACACCGGTCCAGCGGCGCCACACTAGCCGGCACAGAAAGCAGAAACTAATGGCAAAGATGAGTGACTCCGGTTTCGAGGAAGAATTGGAATCCTCGCCGACTTCTTCCCCCGTTCGGATAGACGTGTCGCCGCTCCGTTCAGACGAGCCTCCTGCAGGAGAGCTGTCCACCTGGTACCTGCAGTATGGAGACATCGGTTACATGATCCAGAGGGCCAGGGAGGAGAAGTTTCATCCATGCAAGAGCCTTGCACGCCAACCACAAGTAGGCTATACGATTCTTTAAATACAGTGCTAGGTCAGAGATATTAGTCAATTAATGTTGAATGTTTCCAGTTATTCAATGAGATACAGTCATGATGTGTTAAAATATTTAATTGTTGATCTTCTAAATCTTCTTGTTTTTTTTTTAATGAATAAGGACACTTTTTAACTGTCAACACCACCATGTGCTTATTATTCCCATTTTGCTTACCTAAACCCTCTTTTTTTAAATACTTACGGTTGTTCTGTTTCACTTGCAGCTGACTGCAGAGGCTCGGTGTAAACTGGTCAGCTGGCTCATCCCTGTACACAAACATTTCCGTCTATCTTTTGAATGCTGCTGCCTGTCAGTGAACATCATGGATCGGTTCCTGGCATCCACACCGGTGGCTGCTGACTGCTTCCAGCTACTTGGGGTCACTGCACTACTCCTGGCCAGTAAACAGGTTTGTAAATGTTTAAGGATCAAATACTTTGCCTCTTTGGATTAGCCTACATTAATAATACTTACTATCTTGATGTATGTTCTCAGGTGGAGATGGGCTCACCACGGATCTGCCATCTCTTGTCTTTCTGCTGTGACGCTTTCACTAAAGAGCAGCTCTGCAACCTGGAGTGTCTCATCCTCCTGCGTCTTAACTTCTGTCTCTCTGCACCCACCCTGGCCTTTTTCCTGGACTATTTTACCAACTGCATTGATGCTGCCCAGCTTTCATCTGCAGGCGGTGACAAGTTTGCAAGAACGACTCAGGACACTAAAATACTCAGGCAGTGCAGCAACCTTGCACAAAAAGTGTGTGAGTTGAGTCTTGCAGACTACGCTTTCAACAACTATCCCCCATCTCTGACTGCTTGCTGCGCACTGAGTCTAGCCAGTGAGTTACTGAAAACTGAACAAGGGCATGTTGTGCATGCAAACATGCAGTCACAGGAAGACCAGTGGGGAAGTATTATGGATGAACTATGTACCCAATCTACGACAGCAAAACACAATCTGGTCCAGGAATGCAAAGACAATCTAAGGCTGTTGGTGTCATTAAACCAAGAGGCATTAGATGTGATGTAGCACAATTGTGCCCCAATTCAAAATGCCAAATCTCCCTCTTTTCTATGTGTTACATTCTATGGGTTGAGTTAATAAATTCATCCTGGTGTTCATGCAATTTTAACCTGATGTATACCTCATAAACAATCACTGGATTGCGATCACTGAATGTTTTACATTAAGGTATAGATGCTATATATTTATTAGTAGTTTACTGTTTACTATACTTTATTTATTTATTCTGTTTATTTTTATCATTTTGTCTGTTTATTTTTGTCTCAAAGTCATTATTTACTTCATATGTTCTGACTTGCTGCAGGTTTATGTCACTTTTTTTACTTTTAATGAAGGACCCTGAAAATGTGCTATATTGAATTGATTTTTGTATTGTGAAATAAATGATCATAAAATATTTTTGTGTTGGTGTTTGAATGGGTGATTAAATGCGAAGACAAAATTTGAACATTTGTGATGCTTTTTGATTAAATAAAACCTTCATGTAAAATAAATCTGTCAAAATGTTATTATTATTATTATTATTATTATTATTATCACATATTAACATTTAATAGAAACCATGTCTGCATTATCTTCCAGAATCAGAATCAACTTTATTAGCCATGTATGCTTACACACACAAGGGATTTGTCTTTGGGGAACTGTGCTCTCAATGTACAAAAGTATAACATTAAATATAAACATAAATAAACAAAAACAAAAAAACAAGGCTAAATAAGACAAAAGTCCAATGATGAGTAGTGCAAAAAAAAAAGTTTGATTGTATAATATTGCATAACAGAGATTTTTACTTTCACTGCAGTATTTATGATTCTATTTAACTATATGACTACACTGTTAGATTGCTAAAAGCTGGATCCAATGTCAAAGAAAGCATTATAAGACTGGCATGCATTTATTCTGTGACGTTATAAGGACCTCTTAGAGTTGATAGCATGAATACATCTACTTTTTAGACTAAGTATGTGATTTTTGAGGCTTATAAGCTATTGTAGCTGTTTGCCTGGAGGTCAGTACCCACACCATCTATCTGTTACTTTGTGCAACTCAACTGTGCCAACACAGCCTGGTCGAATTAGGGGCTTTCTCTGATAATCCATTACGCGTGGCATCTCGACCTTCTGACACGGTGTCGACCACACAGGTGCATTCAGCCATTCAGCGTTAAGGGCCAACAAGGCTTAGTCATGTTTGTTTACTAATCGAGGCATTTGTCACCAGTGTTTACTGAGCTGTCTGCTCTAATTACCCTTTTCCTTTTCCATTCGATAAATGTGGCAACAGGCCTTGGCCTAATATGGGGAGATATTTTACGCACAGTTGGGAAGAAATTACGCACTGGGTAATATAGCTGTATTAAGCATTACTGGTAGTAATAAAGACCTCGATAATCCGTCATGATTGTGCTCATGTCTCTGTAAAAAAACAAACTAAGGTGATACATTTTGTAAAAGAGACACGGTGTGGAATAACCATGCCAGGTTTCGCATGCGTCTCTGACAATGTGCAGGAAATATTTGGCTGCAGGCGGAGGGAGGGCACCTGCTGTACTGGCGCCGTTATTGCGCGGTAGCACTTTACACTTCAGACCAGGAAAACCGTTAAGTCTGCACCAATTTAATCTCCGAGGACGCTGTCACTCCCTGGAGACTAAGGAAGTGCATTTGATTGGGCCAAAACTATGAAGCCGCGGCACAGAGAAACACAAACCGGGAGAATTTGGCTATATCAGCTCTAAATCAAAACAAGATAGTTCAGTTCTGCAGCCAGAGCTCAGCTGATGAAGATGCAAAGAGACAGAAAGATGTTTGGTGCTGTTGGCCCCAATCAAAGAGCTGCCGGAAACAAAAAGGTTTGACATTTTTTGTTCTTTATATTCACACAATGCCGGTCTGTATAGAAGACGTTTATTTACTTTCTACCTTCAGGATAAAGTGCTGGTTCCGAGAAGCAGCAGCCCTGTCACTGTGTACGTGGAGCTCCCCTGCATCATTGAGCAAGGTATGCATCTCTGGCATCATTGTTGGTGAACTGCCATCACGTGTGTAAATATGAATCCAGCACACAAATGGCTACATGTCGACGGTTTAATCATGCAGACGCCTTCTTGTTTTGCAGCTTTTTCAACAATTGCGTGGGACGATTTGGAAGACTGCGCGTCTATGGTGAGACCGAAGAGCAATTCCCTCGACTCTCAGGTGAGAAAAAAACTCCAATGTATTATCCTTATAAAGACATTTTGAGTTTAAATCCATCCATTCATTTACAATAACTTAAATCTACCTCAGAGGGATAAGCAGCTCCCTATCACTACCACAGGCTGTTAATGTTTGACACGCTGTGCTGGAATTCTGCACAAATGAGACTGTTGTTTACTCATGACACGCAGGTTACCGCTAATTGGCCAGAACTCACAAGTTTTTGTCCACAAGCTGCCTCTTTGGCACAGCTCACCGTGCGCAATAACGCATTACGAGACGGCACACTTGCAGAAATGACCACCTCGACATGTTCTGCCATAAATCCACATTACCCTGCGTGTTCTTTGTGGGGTTTCCAGGTCTGGGGCAGCTATACATTGTTTTTTTCGTTTAATGATTTTGTTATGGATTTATTTATTTATGCATTTTTTTAACCATTCCATTTTATGCACACAGGTAATTGAATCTGAAGCAGATGATCAAGACTTTGGAGATTATGCGCTGGATTTCATGGCAGGTGAGTGAAGCAAACCAAATCGTCCACTGTGGAAATGCATAATATTATACACAAGCATGAAAGGTTGGTGATTGGATGATAATCATCAGGAAAAAATAATAATCTGAATGTTTATATAATTTCTTTGCATCACAGAAATGTAGTCTCAGACCTGTTAACTGACCTGGGTGTTTGTCTCCGCTGTCAGATTCTCCTTCCACTCTGGAGAGCAGTCTGTCTCCAGCTGAACTGGTACCATTTCAGGGATGTGTTATACCTCCACTCACCCCTCAGAGGTACCTCTCCACAGAGGAAAGTCTGGTGCACTCCTCCACAGAAGGAGGAATCCAGGATGGAGCTCTCTGGAAGGGAATAGCACAGTGGCAAGAGAGGGCTTGTGGAGAGTCCATGGAGGTTAACAATCAGGTAAATCCTTACTGTGAGATTTAAGAGCAAAGTACAGTTTGCTTTTTAACTTTATATGATGCACAGGATTAGGCAACATCTATTTGTGGTATAATTGATCCAAATCATGCATTAATATAACTGATATATTGGAAGAAAAAAAACAAAGCACTTAATTAAATTAAATTAAAGTGAGGGTTGAATACTTCGTTTAAAAGCATTTATATATTATTATATATATATTAGAAAGATTGAAAACCTTATTTGAACACGGTTATTCAGAAAGCGATGCACTTTGCCCCTCTAGGAACACTCTTTCTTAACGTATCCTGCACCTTAAGCAAGGCATGATAGATAAATTTTTTGGAGGTGTAGCTTTGACCGTTTTTAGTAGGATACTTATAAAGTTTTGTTTGCCCATGTTTTTCTCTGAAGTCTCCTACACCAGCTGTAACTCCCACCTATGGGTGCGCACTGATTATGTTTTTTTTTTAAAGCTATTGTGTGATTTTATGTTTTCAAAAATATGCTTAGAAAAATGATCTGGAGTTTTCTTTTCTTTGATCCAGTTTGTTTTTAAAAAGAATGTGTCCTGCAAGATTTGTTTAAACAAATACAATTATTCAATTCTTGTGCTTAAAACATACAGCTAGAAGGCTGCTTAGACAGCGAGAGATGGTACACTATTCGTAGTTGAATTCAAAAATAAAGTTTTTTAGGTCACCCTGCAAATGAACAGACAAACAAAAGAGGTAGAAAATGGTAAAAGCAAATGAAAGGGAAGTTTGTGGTTGTCATGAGTTGGGTTTAATGGTTCTACATTTGAAGTATGGTAAATGAAAGTGCAATCTGTCCTCTGTTAGAGTAACAGAACATATTTCTCTTTGTGTGTCTGCAGCTCCAGGAGACTCTGCATAGAAAACAGGAAGAGATCGACTCACTTCAGAACAGAAATCTTCACCTCAGACAGCTGGCCAGTCGTGCAAAGCACCTTGCCTCAGTGCTCGAAGTGAGTGAATGCAAACATGGTTTCATCCTGGATACAATATATAACTGTATGAGCCTGCAATGTCATAATCCACATCTAACCCTTTATTTCTGTTTGTTTTTCTACCTTTTTTTTATTCCAGAAACTGTTGACAGTCAGGGACAACAATATAATTGAGTCAGTGATGCCTCGTGGGGACAGTACTTCCCTCAGTCCCTGTAAGAGGCAGCGTCTCGACGAGGGATACGAAACTGAGTCCACTGGCTCAGTTGAGGACATGCTGAGAGACATTAGCACACGTTGCAACGCTGTGCTGCACAGCTCTGCCAAAGGAACAGAACCACATGAGGAATCAAAGACCATTCGCATGTACGGTGCATTCTCAGGTCTACAGACTTTTTTTTCCAAAGAATGCAGTCTGAAGGAGGACGGAGCAGAGCATGAAGAGAGCGTCTCATCTTTCAGGACTTCTATCAGAGAACACAGCACCATCAGGACTCAGGTGCTTCCTCATGGACGAGCCTTCACCTCGACGACACAGCAAGGGGGATATCGCTTCCGCTGGGTTCCCAACCTCAGCTGAAACCAGGAGTAACACATGAAGAACTGGTTCTCTAATTAGGGATATAAAAGTGCCATACATTTTTTTTTTACAGACTGAAAGAAGTGTGGGTGGCCCCTGTGACTGTTAATGCTTAACTGATAATCTATAGTGATATCTGTGAATGATTAAATGATGTCTTCCTCAGGTAGCATGTAAGCTAATCAGTCAATGGTGGTGCCTAACAAAGGAAATAACACTGCCTGAGCTTTTGTTTTCTTTGTGTTTCTGTTTACATGCCTCTATATGTAATGATCCAGCCATGATAAAAAGAAATGTCATGCCTGTTTTTACACTTCTTTGTTTTGTCTCAGAGAAGTGAAAAATTATTTAAATTTTGTGAATAAACATTTTAAAAACAAAAGCTGTCTCTGATCGATTTCTATTATGAGAAGAGGACATAAGTCAGAGTTAAACAAATGGAAAGAAACTGTTTTCAACATCAACTTTCCTTGTTTGAGTAGTGAAACAGATTTGACCTCATGACCTTTAAAGAGACAGGGACTTCCTTCCCTTTTGTCTCCTGCCTGAGTGACTGTGTGGCCTGAAAAAGTGCCTATCGATCATGATGCTTTGCAGCCAACATCCTAGTTTATATCCTTGTTTTTGACATTGAAATTTAGATTTTTTTTTTCTCACAAATAGTGATTTATTGGTAGAAAAAACCTGCTGGTTTTCTGCAGCCACAACAATCCAGGTGTTTAAAACATCTGTCTCAAAAAGCTTTGTAACACTCATAATATGGTGTAATTTTGCAGTATAAATCAATGACTATAATGGAATTAAAAAAATAGTCCTAAAAGGTAGGTGAATCTCACATAGATAGGCTACTGTATATTATTTTATTATGACGCTAGTAATAATTTTAAACCTCTTTACACAGTTAGAATAAAGTATTAGGCAGAAAGTAATTTAAAAAATCTTGATTATTCAGCTTTTAGATACGCATGGACATTTTTTTACGTGAGCTTCATATAAACTGTTGACGGCTCTAATATTTGAACTCTTTTTCCAATGTGTCAGTTTCATCTTCCAGTACATATTCTATATAAATAAATGTAGAAAATACTTCTATTTCATTGTACTTCTAAAATGTCTAATTATTACTTATTCTTGCTTCTTGCTTCTGCATTGTACCTTTATTTCAATGTGTGAACTGCCATCCTGTAATGTATGCAACAAATTACAACATGAATAGAGTTTCATTTTTTTTTAAACTTTCATTTAAAAAAAAAAAGTGGAGGAAACATGAGAAGAAGAAGAACTTATCTCAAGAGGATATGGCCTCTTATCTTTGTGTATCTATGATGTACTCTTTCTACAGCCTCTCTGTATGAGGCTTCAGCTGTGGGTTTGTGTGAGGCAGACTGGTGCAGAGGACATTGTCTCAGGTCAAACACCTGTTTACACTTCCCAAACCTGGCCCTTTTTGCTTTAGCACAGTGGAGGCATCAGGGGAGACAGTTTACAGGACTGCTGCTGCTGCCATCAGCAACACAGAGGAAGATAAGAAGATCCTGATTGATGGATGGAGGACTGTTAAAGTTTTTAGTTGTTATATGAATTCATTAAACAGCATTAATATCAACTCATTTGTTGTTTAACCACCAATGTCTAGTGGGCCGCTATACCTTGAGTATAACCTTTATTGCAATTTCAAACCTGAACTCCTCGACATCCAAGAGTGAGGAGCTACATGTTCACTGTAGCCTACATTTGGTGATTCTGAATTTGTTTTGTTTTTGTTTTGTTTTTTCCTCCAAGACATGCGAGTGTTCTTATGGGCTCTTGAGAATAGTAGGCTATATGTCTCAGAAAAAAGTGGGACAGGAACAAGTTCTTACAGTATGAACACTTTAGAGGCATGGTATTTATAATCGGCTATTAACATACATTTCCTCTCAATGCAGAACTTTAAAATAGCTGAGTATTAGTTATGCAATCTATCTATGTTATCTATCTATCTATCTAGACTAATATGCATCATTTCATGTGAAATTATCCTACTGATAATCAGGGACAAAAAAGTGTCCTGTATCTGCAGAAATGTTACACATTCACATTGAATCTGCTACCTGAATGATCCTGACCCCTCAGGTTGACCACAGCCCAGATCACCGTTAACCCTTTAAATTCCTGCTGACAACGTAAATCAAACAGGACGCTTGTCTTCAGCCTCTTGTGGACTGCAGCGAGCACACACGTTCACGTCAGCTTAGCTCGACACCAGACTCGGCTTTATCCACTTTAACTGAAAACAAACACTCCGTTTGTCATTGAGCAGCAGCAGCAGCAGCGCCGTGGAGAGACGCACGGAGGGTCGAGCTGTGTTTAAGCTGCTTGTGACACATTTGACCGGTTAAGCTACCGCCAAACTGCGAGGGGCGATGCGGGAGGGGAAAGTATAATACAGACACAATGAGTTTCTAAGGTGACAGAAGCCAAACCTGCAGGGGAGGCTGCAAACCAGAACACAGTCCCGCGGGAAAGAGGTGGTGAACAAAAAAAAAAAAAATATATATATATATATATAAAGAAACAAACAAAAAAAACATTAACAGGCAATACTCTGGAGGGATGCTGGTGTAGCATGTTGTGGTTATTTTCATGAAGCTATAAAAGCAAGCTACAAGCCTACATGTATTTAAGTCGGGAAAAACACAAGACTTGGGAACAATTCCAACAAAACACATGTAGGCCTAGTTCCTAGATCTGCATATAAACTATAGGGCTAAATATATAGACTATCGCTATAGTTTTACAACATCTTACAACGAAAAGCCTACTTGAATAGAATCTCAACATAGCATAAACAATTTTTAAATAGCATATATTGGAGTGAGCAGAATTGAACCTTAATATTTTTAGAACCATGTATTCATAAAGTGAAATATAGACTCTCAGGATGTATCGGATTCGGGATATGACCTAGTTTATTTAGGATGAATTAAAGATTTTATTTGGATGTGGATAAGAGTATTCGTCTTCGTGGCTTCCTGTTGCTCCATCAGGCTGCTGCGTGTGTTAGACTAAAGCACCTGTCTGTTGTTCCAGGCTGGAGCTCGCGGACGGAGCACATATGGAGGTGGCAGGTGGCGAGAACGTGCGCCGCTCTCGCGCCGTTCAGCCCACTTAGCGCCACAGCAGCTCGTCATAAGACCCGCTCGTGAGGCCCGCGGAGACACGGCCTCTTCCCGCAAAACTGCGTGACTGTTGAACACAGGAACTGTTAGACCACCAATGCGTCTGTTGCTATAAAATACATGAGTGCTGACGCATTTGTTGACTGTTACTGTGACACTTCGGTTTAAAGTAGCCTATTATCTAAAGATGAAGACCAGCCTATAACTCAGTGACTACAGTGAAATACAAATATTTGCAAATGCTTCATTGTCATTCCATTCATTATTTGTTGTAGCTGTTAATATGCCTATTGTTGTCTTTACTTAAAACAAAAATATATATTTTTTTTGCCCAGCTGTTGAATTTCTTACTGCTATAAGGGTCGAGACAATATGTTGAAATATTTTATTTAATAAGTAGACTTACTTTGAAGCACATCCACCTTTTATCATTTCTGATCAATCAATCAATCAATCAATCAATCAATCAATCAATCAATCAATCAATCAATCAATCAATTTTTATTTGTATAGCGTCAACTCATAACAAGTGTTATCTCGAGACACTTTACAAAAAGCAGGTAAAATACCTTACTCTTTGTCTGTTAACATTACAAAAGAGCAGGTAAAAAGACCTTACTCATTGGTGACCTAGTTTTTTTTTGTAAATTTTAATACCAACTAGCCTATTAAAACATAGGCTAATCTTCTTTAAAGTGTAGCCTATACATAAAGGCTGTTAATTGTTTTCCTTTACATTATTTTACAAGCCTAAATCACTTTTTTTTTTCCATTCGCAATAACGATCATGAAAATGTTTAAACCAGCCTACTTTTCTTCACCTATAGTCTATAGGTGACAAAGGTCGGAGAAAAGGCTGATAGACACATGATAAACTTGGTAAATTGACACCTCAAAGACATTAAAGTCTGTCCTTGTCTGGGGTTTATTAGCCTACCTGATTACAGCGTTGTTCTTTTGACTGTTTCTATTTGTCTCCCGTAGAAACAGGGACGCGCAGGGAATCCCTGGACACGAGGACTCAATTGAAAAAACAAACAAACAAAAAAAAAAACCCTCCTCTTCCGCCAATAGCAGATGAGAGGACAGTGCTTCCCGCTCCTCCGTCCGCCCGGGGAGACTATTTAGTGGAGCAGCTCGTGCAGGAGAGCAGACGACAGGTGCACGAGGCATGGCATGCTCCTCAACCCGACTGAGAGAAAAGAGAAGTCATGGAGAGCAAAGATGCGCCTACATGATGACTGGGTGAGTAGTCTACATTTTTAAAATAATATAGAAACAGTAGACTAGCAGGTGTATTAGGTCTATTACTTTAATATCACTTAATGGCATGTTGCTGTTGGTAGGCTACCAGGCAACCACTTCAACCTCTAAACACGTGGATGTTACACTAATGCAACTCTTTCACTATAAAATGCTGATAAAATTAAATCTACTGATACTGCAGCCTATATCATTTAAATAAACTAACACCAACCTTTCTGAATGATTCATTTAAAATAAGTTTGCAGCTTTATTTTGTATTTTTGTGAGTGTCTTAGTTACCTGGCTTTTGTTTTTCATAATCAGGAAAGCGTGAAGAGAATGCAGAGACATTTTGCAGGGAAGAGAAGAAGACGCTTTCACTATAAGGTAAAAGGAAAATTAAAAAAAAAAAAAAAAAAAAAAGACAAATTAAACTTGTTCTTGGCTGGCAGCATCCTCCCCTGCAGCTTCTGGTCCAGGCTGTGACAGTATGGCAGTGCACTGCTGCTGGCTGTGTGCTATTGATTGACAGCTGTCAGCTGCACTGTTTACTGCAACCGACCTCAAACATCCTGCACACTAACACATTCACCCCTGACAATAGAAAGTAGAATGAGGTCAGGAGGGGAATGTGTGAAAGATAATAAACTTTACATTTAGTAGATTAACATTCGGCTAAGCTTATAGTCAAATCAGTGTATTTGCATACAAAGGCTGAGGAGTTGTGTCTGGTTGGGAGGCAGTGTAATGTTAGCTGACGTTTCTGTGGCCAGCTCACACTGCTCTGCTACCTTAACAGTCACGTTTGCATATGCTTATAATTTACTCATTTATTGGATGCATTGAGATATGGTGAAAAAGGTTGGTTCATCAGAAAACATGGGCATCTCTAGACTCAAATAAATGGGGTATATTTTGAAAAGCAGTGCACATGAAACAGTTCAAAAAGATAACGCTGACGTTTCTCAGTCCATGGCTGGCTGGTAGGCAGTGTCTTGTTAGCTGGTTGATTTTGTGTGTGCCAGCTTACCTGCTTCTGCCCTCCAACTGACCATTTAAATCAACACCACAGGCTTTTGCAGTTAACATCTACCGGTTCAGAAAGGATGATTGGGTTTCAGGAGTCTTCATTTCTGCAGCAGTTTGTACATATTCAAAGAAGATTTACTTAATTGATCCCTGCAAGGGGAAATTTCCATTTTTAAACATTCAGACTTAAAGCTGAAACAGCTTATTGAGTAGTTGTCAGCTGTTTAATTGCTCCCGACAGGTTTTGATAATCAATTAATGCATTTAAGTAATTTATTACAGAAAAGAAAACAGTATAAATCAACAAACTTGTTTTAATGTAGGATGGAAAGTTTCCTGGGCTCAAATCAGTGAAAACAGGACAAAATCTAATACTACTCCTTAAGAAATATTTGTGATGTAAACATTATAAAGAGTTGGTATGAAGGAGAGACTCAATTCTAACTGAACATTTATAAAAATCCACTTTGATGGCTTAACAATCCTTCAGCTGCAGCAGTGGTCTTTGTCAGGAATGTTCATCAATGATTGTCAACCTCAGGATGATCCCCTTTCACATGCAAACACAGACTCACACATGGTGACTAGCTGTGAGTGACTGTTCATTGACTTGAAGGCTAAAACTACTGGATCTTTTTTTTTTTTTTTTAATCCTGCCTGTTCCTGGAGCGAGACATCTCCTGACCACACTCACTGTAACAGTTCAGAGTTCAGTCAGTCCTCTGCTGGAAACACGGACACCACATAGATTTGTGTTCAGTATGTGTTGATGTAAGCTTTCCATCAAAGCTCCTGCCGCTTCTTCAGGATGATTTCTCGCACCAACGTCGCCACCTCTTGCCTGACGCTCTCCATGGACTCATCTGTTCGCCAGAAGCGGACCACTTTCCCTTCTGGGTTCACCAGAAACTTCCAGAAGTTCCACTTGGGGAGTTTCTGCACAGAATCTGAAACACAGGACATCAGATACTAATTAATTACTCTGCTTACAAACTGATTGTAGCAATGCAGAAACTTTGGCAGAGGTATCATAAGTAACATTGTAAACACAGATATAAACAATCTTTTATGTCTAACTTTCTGATATATTCAATAAAAGCAAACCTGAACATTGTAGCAGGGGATGTCAATTTATGATCAGGGCAGACAAAACCCCTCATTAAGTTGATACAGGGTATCAATATAGGCTATCATTACATAACTCCAATGGAGTTGCCAGAGTTTAAAACAATGTCCGGCTGCTTCTTCTTCATTCAATGCTTCATTTTTTAACACTCATGTTCTGAAGTATCCCACACAAAATCTGGACAACTCATTTAGTGAATCACAAACATAACAACATGTTTACAGATGCATTTTGAAGGGATTATTTGGGACATGGGATGTTTCTTTTTTAGAGAGGGAAGGTTATAGAACAAACTCTAGGCCTAAATAGTTTTATCAAACAAAAACTGTAAAAAGAAGAAAAAAAAAAGGAAAAAAGGCTGTCACAGTAGGACTTGCTAATTATATCCCAAATGATAGAAAAAAAAAAGTAGGCGACAACTGGGCATCTGTGTTTAATACACAAAATGAATAACTTAATCATATAACTTGACTTTAAAAAAATCAACATTTACTGGCCTAAAGGAAATTCAAAGTTTGTTGAGGAAAGTACCAACGGTGCTGTTCTGTCACTAAAAATATACATTTCTTAAAGTCATCCTTTTAAATAAATTGAACCACATACAGATCCCAATCACAATGAGACGATGTAGCTACTTGTCATTTCTACAACAGTGTTTATGAAATAGAGCGCACAGCAGACGGATAGAGTTCTTTTGCCCACCTGTGAGGAACCTGAAGGCAGGGTCTGCCTCTGAGCCCATTATTTTGATCCTGCTGAAGAAAGGGAAAGTAACGCCGTAGGTGGACTTGGCGAAAGCCTCGATGTCTCGGCTGGTCCCGGTCTCCGTGTCCCCGAACTGACCGCAGGGAAAGGCCAGAACGTTAAAGTGAGAGGTGCCCAGTTCCCTGTGGAGCTCCTGCAGAGACCTGTAGTTCGTCTCCGTGTGCTCGCAGTGACTCGCCACGTTTACAACCAAAGACGCCTGGACAAGAGGGGGGGGAAACAGAGCTTAAATGAGTTCACATGAATGCTGGAAGAAAAAAAACTTCTGCAGGCTACGAAACGTGCCCTCAGATGACACTTGGATAATTTGCGCAAGGTTTTGCGCAGATATCTTCACAAACTTAGCAGGCTGGTGATGATGTGTACGTACTTTTCCTCGGTACTTCCCCAAAGGAACCGTTCTCCCCTTCGCGTCTTTGACCTCGAACGAATAAAAATCCTGAGGTTTTCTGGGCTTCACCAGCTGCGTCTGCAGGAGGAACAAACAACCCACGCCGACTGTCATGCTGAGCAGGACCGTCAACTTCTTCGCTTTTGGGTTAGAGGACTTGGCCGGGTAGCCCCCTAAGGCCTCCATCTTGGAGGGGGAAGAACGAAGAACGGAGGCTCCAGCCAAGACGTTTTTCGGGGCGGATCAGAAGAAATGAGTCAAGTTAGATACAAAACACTGCGAGAATGCCGGTATCAACGTACTAATGGTTCTGACACAATAAAAGCAATGCTGCTCCTCAATATCACATGAGAAAATAGTAACCTACACATAGCCTATAATAAAAAAAAAATAGAAAAAAACAAAGGGCTATTGACCGTGCAGAATGGACCCTTTAAGAAAAACAAAATTAGACTTTTAAGATTCTGATTAATCTATACTGCCTGAGAGCTTCATCTCTAAAACAATGTCGTAGTTGAGTTTAAATGCACAACATAGGTATAGTAACTATTCGAGTGTATTTTTTAGTCTGTCTGTCCATCATAAAAGATAACTTGCACATTATTAGTATAACATTTTACTGCTTTGGGAAATCCTTCAAATAGGTTATGTACTGAAAGTGGTCAGTAGAGCCACATCTTTTTTCAGCCTTTCTTTGAAAGTGAACACAGGAAGTTTTACATCTTCATTTGCTTGCTTGACACTGTGAAGTTACGTTTGAAGTTTGAAGATGTATTATGTAGAGCATTATGGGATAAACCAGAATTATGTTTATATTTTTTTTGCTGAAACTATTCAATATATGATATATTATAATCAGTATTCCGTCCTCGCAGGAACAAAACAACAGCCATCGTGTTTCATACCAGCGTTTCAGGAGGAGGATTACCCGAAGGAGCAGCAGTGAGTGTCCCGCTGCCAGTACACCACTGACCACTGGGGGGCAGTGTGAGCCCAGCTTTGAGTTTGATACAGTCTGTCAGAGGCTGGTGTTGGACTCTCCTCAACCACAACACAAAGTCCTCCGGGGAAACCTTCAAGGTATTTAAACCAAACACACCACAGAGAAATGTAAAGGAGGCCGTGTCTGTGATAGTGAGCTCACCGACATAAAAGAAACATCATTGTAATCTCATCCAAACATGGGCGGTTCTAGGCAGGGGCCAACAGGGGCCAGTGCCCCTGTAACACTGAGCTTGGTTCCCCCTTTGGCCACCCCTCCAAAAGGAGGAGCCCCCCCCCCCTCCCCATAACACATTAACATAGTATTTCACTCAGCACAATCTAGACAAAACTGGCCCCAGTTTGGCCCCCTCAGTAAAAGTGGTCTAGAACCACCACTGCATCCAAACTTTGCTGATTAAGGAATTACCCAAACTCTGCTAAATGCAGGACACTAAATTTCACGACAAAACAGTGAATCTTACCAAGTCTAACGATCTTATTTTTTAGACTAAAACCTCCAAATTTTGTATTAAGTTTATATGGATTAACAAGTGTTGTAATTTAGGTTATTTTGTTCTATTTTTTATTATTAGTTGTTTTTACCTAGCTATAAGACGTGTCTGTAAAACCTGTTCTAACAATGCACTGTAACAACACACTTTATAAACACAGTGTAACAACTCACTGTTACAACGCATTGCAGCAACAGTGTGACAACACACATGTTCTTCAGTATTTTCATTATAGATGACTGATGCTCCCACTTCCCTAGAATTCAAGGTGAAATATTTTAATTTAAATATATGCACGTTCTTCAACATTTTACTGAATTTCAGGTTAAAATGTGACACATGATAAAATAATAGATTACAATAAATGTGTTGCGTTTACAATTAAACATTTAAACTGCCCATGCAAAAAAACAAAACAGATTAACCCCATATAATGGTCGTAACATTTATTCGTGCATGTTTGAGAAGTGATTGGAAAATGAAGGTATAAATGAACATATCATACATTAGCAGAGGAATGAGTCTAATCTCCATAAGGGTACCAGCAACATCCCACATTTTTGTTGTATAGTAGACAGAACTATTATCTTACTCCGTTACTAAACAGCTGTATGAAAGATTCCCTTATCCTCAGATCTTCATGTCTATATTCCCTTATGTTACCTATACTATATCGGTCTGTCACTAAGTCACTGATTTGTAAACGTGATGTCATATGTGATATCATCCTGTCCCTATCAGAGACAGCAAAAACAGATGTGTCCACCTGCATCGCTGCTGCACCCACAGTACGCACTGTCACTTCTCATCTTGCCAAGGAAAATGCCCCACAACAGGTTTGTTTAAGGGACTTACCTTAAATTATGGTGCAAAGATTTTTTTGTGTGTATGTCATCTTCCATTCAAGACAATAAAGAAAGAGGCTCTGCAAAGAGATTAGAAAAATTATTCAGGCCACTTTTTTGATAACACACAGTGTGAAAGAATGAATGTCCAAAAGAGCGATTATTATCTGCAGGGTTGGGTGTGGAGAGATGCAGTTAAAGAACAGGGGATCTCTCAACAGGCTGGTAAAGGTAAAGAATGACTTTGTTTCTTTCTATAGAAGCACTCCTAATGCTTCAAGACACACACACACACACACACACACACACACATATGTAGAGCTGTACTGCATGATGTCATTCCAGGAAGTGAGAGTGTGACATATCATCAGAATGAAAAAAAATGTATGGCTTGATTGTGAGACTTTGTGTTTGTAATTTGTTTGAGTGTGTTTGAAATATATGTTTCATTTTCAGCCTCTGATAACAGACTACATGACTTGCAGCCGTTTGCTGTTCTGGAGAAAGCGTCTGTGAATCTGCAAGTAAAGGCCGTGATAAAGATGGCAGCACCAACGCTGATGAATGACTATTGTAAGAATGGATTCAAATCTGCATTATTCTCGTCCAAAAAGTTATTTTTATCCTTCAGCGTTTTAAGGATGTTGCTTAATTTGATGCAAAGACGAACACAACAGAAGGGCCGGACAGTTTCTTTAGCCTTTGTGTTAAACTATGTTGTCTGTGACACTGTCTCATTTACAAAATATAGTTGTATGTAATAAAACAGATGGACTCTGCAGCTTTCAGTTACTGCTAGTTAAACAGAAAGAGATCATGTATTTTAATGGGGGACTATTTGATGCAGATTGAGACGTGTTATGTGCTCTGGTGAGTTTTAAATAGCAGCAGAGCATCCATTGAAGGACAAAGTGTGTATAGGTTTAAAGCAAGTATCAATGAAAGTTACATTTTTGACTCATCAATTCCAACCAAGTGTCATGCTGCGTGATAGAGAATGACTCATGGCTACTCTAAAGATCTACCACTGAAGTCATGTTCTCGGTGGGTGTTTATGAACTAATTTTCTATGTTTAAACGTCAATCTATTACATTCACAACTTTAAGGCCAATAAAATAATACAAAATAAATTCACCAGTATTTAAATGCTCTGAGGAGAGTGCTTCAAATGGGATTGAAAGTTTCATGCTGGAAACATACGTTTGATTAAATGGTAATCTGATTTTACTTGTTGGCTTTGTAAAATCTTTGTAGATGGTTTTATGTTTTTATAAATTCTCAGTTTCTTGATGTTGCCTGATGAAGTCAAGTATTAATGTATTTATTATTCATGGTGTTTGTTGTTTCTGTTGTCTGACTCTATGTGTCTGTGTGTCTTTTTGTTTCCTGTTTTCACCTGGCTACAAAACACATTTCCACTAGGGGACAATAAAGTTGAAGTTGAATCAGTCAGAAACCCCCTCCAACGATCCTGTTGTTTAAAAAAAATGAATGGAAACAGCTCATACTTCGGTTTTGAAGAGTGACCACAGCTTTGCTCTCAGTTCAGACTCATCCTGATTGACGCTGCTTGACTCATCAGGCACAGTATGGCTTGTAGTCCTTCTCTCTCTCTTCTATCTCTTCTCTTCAGACTCAAATGTACTCGACTGCAGTTGTAATGGTGTGATTGCATTAGCACTGGGCTCTTCTGTTTACCTTTGGAACTCAGAAACTCAGACTCTGTTGGGATGTTTGTGCCCGAGTCCACAACCAGGACCTCTGCACTTTCAGACTCAGTCCGTCTCATCTCTGTGCTGGAGCAGAGACGGCAGATCTCTGTGCATCGGGACCAGGCGAGGGGAGATACAGGTAAACACTGTGGCGATTAAATGAGCAAAAGAGAATGGAAACTGATTCATGGAAACTGAAGTTGGTGGGGGGGGGGGGGGTTGTTCTAAGGAAGTGTATCACCTGTGGTTGAATCAGCAGGCTGATAGTTTGCGGTCTCTCTCTTTGACTCTTTAGTTGTGGGATGTTGAACAGAACCGAAGGGTGAGGTGTCTCCTTCACACCTGTCTGTGGTCAGAGCTCTTTCCTGGAAGCAGCAGTTACTCAGCAGGTATGTGCTCTCACAAGAAAAAAAGCTTGTGCAGATTTTAGGTATAATTCATAGCCTATATTTAGCCATAGGGGTGTATCTCAGCCTCAGTGGGAAATGAAAATGCTGAAATTCAAAAGATGTACACAATTTAGACAACATAGTTTCAAGCTAATGGGGTAAACACAGGGCCAAACACTTGATGATTGAGGAACAATGCTAGATTTGTTGTCAAAATCCTTTGAAATATACGCAAAACGACATTACTGGCTTCTTGAATGAATTGAAATAAGTATTTCATCCCTGGAAGAGACTACGGACAATCTGCAGACAAAGGTCAGATATTTGGAAGCAAGATTAAATCTCCATAGAGAAACTTTCCAAAAGGATCGGGCGCTTTAAAGTTCATTTTAATCTGTTAACTCAAGTCTCAAGACAATAGAGATCTTGCAGCTTATATAGACCGCCAATAGGGAAGATGTGTTTGTCCGGTGATTGTGGAGAATGATACATGTCAAGTTGCCTTCCTGAACAAACTGGCAGGCGTTGCAACATTTGTGTCCTAAAGCGTTGTCCTACAGTGCAGGAACAGACGTAGTGACTTCAGAATCTAGACGGGTTAAATTCTTTAGCAAAAGGAAATATAACAGGTATAATAAAGGGAAGTGTTTATACTGGTTGCTGACAGTTTACGAATTCTTCTAGCGGCTCTATTCTTGGACGTATCCATCACTTTGACCCTCGGGTTCCTACACCTCTGGTTGGTGCAGCTGTGCAGCAGGACGGGATCTGCAGCCTGCAGTGGTCACCAGGAGACAACTTGCTGGCCAGTGGCTCCACAGAGGGCCTTCTCTGTATATGGGATAGTGACGTCGCAGGGTTCACAAGGTCACGTCGGCCAATAACTACAATGAAACATCCCTGCGCTGTAAAGGTCAGTGATTGATTCCAGATGAGTCCTTTAGGGATATAAACTGCAGCTACTTGAATTTGCACTCTATATCTATGGGTACTTTGGAAAGTTTGGAGAAAGTGAGTTAAGGGTCACTGACATCACTGAACTCACAACTCTGCTTGTCAAATGCATTTTACTCTGTTGTTGACAAAGGGTGTTGACCTTTGACATGCTTAAAACTGCTTTTTTTGGTGAGGAAACAATTGGCAGCATACAGTATCATCCATTTTTCTGTTAAAATGAGCTGGCTCGTGTGTATTTGAATGACCTGTTACTGGTTGGTATGTCTAAGGGTTTTAGCTATATTTACACAGAGGTTTAAAATATAGTAAGTTGGGGCTCCAGTGGCCTCGAGGTTACTGTAGTTTACGCACCCCATGTTTAGAGGCTATATTCCTCAATTTGAATATGATCTGTAGCTCCTTTGCCGCATGTCATTCCCACTCTCTCTCTCTCTCTCTCTGGTTTTTGACTCTATTCACTTTCCTGTCTCTCAAAGGTATAAAAAAGCCCAACAATATATCTTTAAAAAGAGTAAGTTAAGTTGATTCTGACACTGTTCACGATGAGTTTTACTTTAATAATCAGCCATTATAGTTCATTGTGTTTGTGTGTGTAGGCGATGGGATGGTGTCCATGGCAGAGGAAGATGATTGCTACAGGAGGAGGATGGAAAGATGGAGAGTTAAGGATCTGGGACGCAGATTCTGCATCTTGTATTAGTTCTGTAAACACTAACTCACAGGTGCTAAAGACTCACAAAGTTATAGTGTTGTTGTTGTTTTTTTTACTGTTAATAAATATCTAATGTTTTTCTTTATGATTACAACTGCAGATCTGTTCTCTTCAATGGGCTGAGAAGAAGAGATGTCTGGTCACAGGTCACGGCCTTCCTCATCACCAAGTCACCTGCTGGACCTGGGAGTTTCCCTCCCTCAGACCGACCTTCCAGCTCACAGGTTAGAGAACCTGGAACACATTTATGTGCCACTACAGGCCTTAATCATCTCTGTGAATCACCTTCACGACAGCCTAGGGTTGTCCCGATACCAGAATTTTTAACTTCAATAAAATATTTGTAAAGATCTGAATAATAAAAATATTGACTAAAGTTTCAGTAGCACCCAATATGGGGTAATTCTTTTAAATTTTTTTTCAACCAAAATTGGCAAGCAAACTTTTTCACACGTCTAAGTTTCAAAAATGTATTGGCCAATTTTCTGATCCAGAACACATTTGCCATTTAGACAGTTCTTGCTCTCTTTCATTTAAGGGACAAAAAAATGAAACTTAAAATTGTGACAAGCTCACTACAGCCTCATGGCACAAAATGGATTGCATCATTGTTCATATAGCAAAATAAGTGTGTCAGTTGGACTACAGCTACAGCTCTGCCTTCGTTTATGACAAGGGTGTAAACCATGACTGTGTGATTACTCATTTATGTCCAGGCTTCAAAGTAAATGTGAAACTATGAGTTGAAACAAAACACAAGTCAAACATTTGAAATCAGACTTCTCAGTTTCCTGATGTATTGGGAATTGCTGTAGGCATAAATAACCAATATGTAAAAATAAATGTGTTCTGAAATCCTTTAAAGATTATTTACAAAAATGTTTGAGTTCATAAATCTTTGTCATTTCTTATGTATTCAGTTATATATTGCAGTTACTGTTATGTTGATTTGAGCCGAAAGATCAGGATGACTTAGTATTTAGATTCACTTCATCACACTGTTCAACAACATTTTGTATATTTATATTTGTAAATGTTGTTGATATTCAATGCTTCTACATAGCTTATTATTTCTTTAGATACTCTGCCCTTTGGTACTTATCACTTATATGTATTCTATATTTCTTACTTCTATCCTATTGTTTTTAAGAGCAACTAACGACCAACCAATAATTTCAAATGTATAAACTCCTAAAACCTTTCTTCACAGTTGAGTGAATGAGCAATATTGCATTCAAATTGAAATTTAACAGTAATAACAAAGAAAAACACCTTATAGTCAGCTAAAGCAAGTCTTTCAAGGTAAGCACTAATGTAATAATGAATTGAAGTTGGTAAAACATTAATGCACTGAAAAATATCAAAAAGGTATTGTTCAAACTTGATTTTGTTTTTCTGTTTAGGGCATTCTCAGCGGGTCCTGCACTTGGCCTCAAACCCCGATAGTTCTCAGATTTTCTCCGCAGGAGCAGACCAACGCTTTCACATCTGGGACCTTTAATGATCAACATCACTTATTATCATGCTCTGTCAATGTTTTTGGGGTCTGGCTGTACAATGTGAACATTTAACCATATTTAAGTAGCTCAGTCTCTCAGTAATGTTGTTTTCAGAGGTTGCACATTTCCTGTCCCATTTTCTGAACTAACCACGGTGTGTCCTCGTCAAACAGAGTCAGAAACACACTTTTAGTTCCTTATTCATTCATTCAGTCCATATCATATGCGTGTTTGTTTTATTCTAGCTACTTTACAGAATTACTTTTTTATCAAACACGGCATGTCCTCTTGTCGAGGGGCCCTACAGATGACGAACGGATGAAGGGGCTACTTCAGGCTATAATAGAATTAGCCTACATTTACATCAGGAGAAGAGTTTAGACCCCCTAGATTAACATTTTCACATGACATTTGAGTGTTAACAGTTTTTCTTCACACTGAATAATCTTACAAAGCCTCACATCACCAACACCACCCAGAGCAGTCAAATTATTATTTGATTTACATCCTACAAAGATAAAAGCAATCATTATTTTTTTTTCATATTGTTCCAATAAGTAGAATAGAATAGAATTACTTTATTGATCCCAAACTGGGAAATTGTGGCGTTACAGCAGCAGGTTATCCAACACACAATATGAGTAAAAAACACAATGTTAGCAAATCTAAACATAATATAATATTAAATACAAAGTAAATAAGTACTAAAAATATCAAAACTAAGAATGTGAATATATACAACCAGGGTTTAACTTAGCATTACTAGTCTTAAATAGGAAGATTAAATATGGAAGATTAAATGTAAATGTGCAAAAACAGAGTAGTAAATGGACAGTATTGACATAAGTTAAAGTGCATGAGTGTAGACATATAATAAGCAGAAACTATACAATATAACGGCGAGTAGACAGCCAAATGAAGTGAACATGAGTGCAGGGATAATTTGTAAATTTAACATGTGCAGAACAGATTACAGTATGGAGAGACGGATATTATCATGAAGACAGTTCTCTGCTCGCATGAGGTGAGCTGTTGTACAGAGTTATGGCCTTCAATAAGAAAGATTTCTTGTATCTGTCCTTGTGACAGCAGAGTTGTATCAGTCTGTTGGAGAAGCTGCTCCGCTGTTTGTCCAGTAGGGTGTGCAGAGGGTGCTCAGGATTATCCATAATGGATAACAGTTTGTTAAGAGTCCTCCTCTCTGTCACCACTACAAAAGAGTCCAGCTTGCAGCCTGTCACAGAGCAGGCCTTCTCAATGAGTTTGTCCAGTCTCTTAGTGTCACCAGCTCCAATGCTGCTCCCCCAGCAGACCACAGCAGAGAACAGTGCACTGGCCACAACAGACTGATAGAAGATCTCCAACATCTTGCTGCACACGTTGAAGGATCTCAGCTTCCTCAGAAAGTACAGTCGGCTCATAACCTTCTTGTACACAGCCTGAGTGCTGGCCTTCCAGTTCAGTTTGTTGTCTATGTTGGCACCCAAGTATTACATTTCACCCAAATAAAGCTAATGGACATTGAAATAGCCTCTGAATTATATTTACTTTATAAAATATGTCAAATTTGATTTAAGTAAGGTACCAGTGAGTCCAGTTTGAACTCTGTTCTTATATATTTCCTCTTCAGCTGCTTCCGAGTCGCTTTTCTCCCACTGGATTGCACCTTAAATTGAAATACATTTTTGGTTCAATACCGTTCCAGTTTTTCACCTGTAATCTGATAAGTGTGTTCAAATATTGAATGAAAAGATAAACATAAAAACCTATGCTTTGTGTCAAGCAGCAATTTTCTCCCACACCACTTATTTTTTCATACTCGTCAAATGTCAGCATGAGGATTTCCAGTTCGAGAGGGGTAAAGCACGAGGACCTTTTTTTGTCCTGTTGCAATGATGAATTGTAGTAGAGGGGCTCCATTTATTTAGCTTTTCATAGTCTTTAACACGCTGAACTCTGAGTCATCCTACTCCTAGTTGATTGAAATACCGGAAGTCAAAAAATCAGCTGTTCTGTAACCAGAAACTCAGAGTTTCACATCTGAAGGTAAATCAACTCAGGGTTCAGGGTCAGACTCAGAATTTGTTGAACCTCCTTTCTGGTTGTTTTATATTCCTGGAATGTGCCCAGACTTTATTTTCAAAAGCTAAACACTGAATGTAGGACTATCACGAGTTTATCTTTGGGGAATTTAGTGAAAGCTCACATCAATGTACCACATCGATAGACAGAAGAGTAAAGTCCTTCTGATCTACAATTGTATCTACTTTTCTATATCCTACAACAACTTTCACTTCCTTCTCTTTCACCAACCGCCGTCCGTTGGAGTTTTCAAATGAAACTTTGTTAACAATTGTCTACGCTCCGTCCCGATTTCACTCTTACAGTGTGAGCTCATAAAGCTCAAGGTCTGGTTACAGGCCTTAAACCAGACTACAGGTTAAGCACACATGCAACTGAAGACAACAACAAAACAGGTTACCATAACTACGCTGGTGACACACAGATCTTCATTACCGTGTCACCAGGGGACTGTGACTTTTATTCCTGCTCTGAGTAGATGCATTGAATAAATTGATGAGTGGCCTTGCCATCATTTTCTTCAGAGACAAAACTAAGGTAGGTCTAGATGTTTTTGGAGCCAAGGAGCAATTAAAAGTCAGCACACAGCTTCAAAGCATTAACATTAAAAACAGCTGACTAAGCCAGAAATCTGGGTGTACTCACTGATTCAGACATAGCCGACTAGATGACTGTAACGTGTCTTTACAGGTCTCCCTAAAAATCTGTCAGACAACTGCAGATGATTCAGAATGATGCTAGTCACTCCAGTTCTGATGTCCTTACACTGCTACCTGTCAGAGAATAGATTTTAAAATACTTATTGGCCAAAATAAATGTGTGCCCTTCTAATAAAGAAAATGCACCATCCAGACAACTAAGGTCCTCTAGGACGCAGGTCTGCGGTTTGTCCCCAGAGACAGAACAAAACATGGAGAAGCAGCATTTACTCCGTATATCTAGAACAACTTTCCAGAAAACTTTAGGTACGGTGAAACTCTGCGTTCCTTTATATCAAGGTTAAAGACTCACCTGTAAACAGTTGCCTTTTATTGAATGATTTGACTTTTAATAAATTATCTTTAGGCTATACATATTTTAACTAGCCTATATGACACTGCACTTTAACTACCATACTTGTATTTTAAAACTGTCTTACTAGATTTTAGTTTCTATTTCTGTTCTTATTTTATCTTCTCTTTGGGTTGTAATAGTTCGCTTTAATGATTTTTAAATATCCTGTTTCTTCTGCCCTTTCGTTTCGTTAAGCACTTTGAATTACATTGTTGCTGAAATTAGCTCTATAAATAAACTTGACTTGCCTTTTCTTGTGTTACGAGCTAGCACCTACTACACATAAAAGTAAGACCTAACCTGAAGTATGAAAGAAGAGAGACGGACATTGAGAGAAAGGACTGCTTCTCATGACTGGAAAACAAGGCTGCAATCGGCCTTGCTTGTACTGGACTGCGCTGTGGGGAGTGACGGACGAGTCCTGGTTTCATCTATCTTAAGTTTTTATTTAGTAGGACCTCGAAGAATAGAACAAGGCTGGTTTCATTCAGGTTCATGTGTGGGTCGGCTGTCGAGTGATGGTAGCTCCTTCAAGTCTGCGTCCACACAGGTCTCAGCTGCAAGCGTCACCTGAGTCTTATTGCGTCATTTAAAGGAGACACAGCACCTGCTCTGTGCTCACCTTAGGAATGGTGACAAACCAGTTCAACTCAGCTTAAACCTCGACTGTATGTCCCCCCAGAAAACCAGTCCAAAGTGGTGAAAACAGATTGACAACTCACACAAATGACTTAAACTATTAACAGCTGTTGGGCCACGCAGGCTTAGGACAGTCAAACAATGGACTTGGGCCTGCACCCTTGTGGGAAGTCTCATTTGAGTGATTCACTGAAATCACAAGGAAGCCTAAAAGGACTCCTTATCCCAGAATTCCCTGCGGTACTTCACACCTACGTGTGACGTAAAGGGGGGACCGGAACCTGAGGGAGACCCCACAGGAAGGCGGCCAGGTGACAAAACTCCAAGACTTCCCTTGTTACCCTTACATAGGTGATATCTTCCTTTACCACCACTGACAGGGTGTCTAGAGCATGCAAGGTGTTGTTAAGGAGGGTCGAGTGTAAATTAACGGTCACTATGGTACCCTGGATGGTCTTTCCAAGGTCTTGTAGCTGTTCTTGTTGTGAAAAGAGTCTCTGTCTGATCTCTGGCATTTCATCATTAAGTTCGCTCATATGTCTCTGGAGGGTGCTGAGGCTAACTGTGTTAGCAGCGGAGAGGCCCACAGAGAATAATGACCCGATGGCAGAGGCAGCGGCCAGCAGGCCGCCAAGGAACCGTTTTGTCCGCTGTTTCCCGCTGAGGTCTTCCTCAGTAACTAAGAACTTCTGCAGTTGTTCGAGAATATGGATAGTGGTTTGTTTCGCTCTTTCGACTGTGTCGTGCGCTTGGGTTCCACTTAATCTCCCTTCAGTTAGTTGTGGGGGTAGACGGATGTGTTTGCGGTATACATCCCATGGATCAAGGTGTACATAGATTCTTTGGGTGTAGATGCCGCAGTGGGTGATCAGAAGCCCAGGTATCTCTTGAAGAACTGTACCCGTCGGTGGCCCTGGTTCTACAACTTCTGCGGAGATGGCCCCATGTAGGGTCAGTAGGAGGCCGAGGGTCAGGGGGAGTTCCATCCTGAAATAAACCAAAGTACAATTATGGATGGATAGCGGTTGGAGTTAGTGCCAGTTAGTCAGTTGGTTAAGTCATGCTACTAGCTCCAAGGTTTTACAGAGGGGTGCTATTGATCCTGAGGTGGGGTTTGCGTCCCCCCGTCAGGTGTGTCATCCACTTCCTTTTCTGCATGTGGATACAGCTTAAATGGTTTGATCTGGTTTGCGTGGACCCATTTGTATGTGGGTTGTTGCTTTGGCCTTGAGACCCTGATACGGTAAGCTACTGGTGACAGCTTCCCTACAATCTCGAAAGGACCTAACCAGCTCGGGATGAATTTCTTTGAGATTCCTACGGGTTGTGCATACTTGAAGTAGAAAACCCTGTCGCCTACTTGGTACTCTCGATCAGATGACTTCCTGTCATAGTAGGCTTTGGCTCCTTTAGCTGAGGCTTCCAGGTTCCCCTGGGCCCATGCGAATGTCACCTTGAGGTGGTCGCGCAGGTCTGAGATGTATTGGTGTGCTGTGTATGCAGTAGCCACACTGATGTCCTCTGGCTGGTAGAGAACATGCAGAGGAAGAGTCATTTCCCTCCCCGTCATCATTTCGAATGGTGTTACCCCAGTGGACCGATGCGGGATCGCCCTGATGGCCATTAGTACGAGAGGGAGCTTAATGTCCCAATCTTTACCATTGCTACTCACGTATTTCTTGAGCATGTTGACAATGGTGCGGTTAGCACGTTCAACTTGGCCTGATAACTGGGGGTGGTGAGAGATGTGGAACTTGACCTCCGCCCCCAGGATGTCAAACAGAGATGTCATTACACTGGACGTGAAATGCGTGC